GTTTATTTTTAATGTATACTAAGACATTTTGAAATTAGAGATACATTTAACTTTATGTAGGTTTTTTTCATATAAAACATGTTCTCCAGTCTGTAATAAAATTGCACCATAGTTAGGAAATAAAAAGTATCATTTTATTACTTTGAAAAAAAAATCCATGTGGAATAAAATAAATGTAAAAAAAAGAGTAGTCAATTGCTGTAAAATGTAAACATATCATTAACAAGGTACATATATATACATATTAATGTAGTCTAATTATATATTTATTATAATATGCAAAAACGGAAGCTGTCCCAGTAAATTGCGAACATTTTCATTATGCTTTGTTTTACTAAAACTATAAAGCTAAAAATTAGAGTACATCATTATCAAAACCTTAACTGACATTGTTCTTCATAAAAGTAAAAAAAAAATGGATTGCACCGATCACCAAAATTTAACAACTTTTTATTCCTGTTTTTATATGCATATGCCATCAAAGGCCTACAATAATTTGTCAAAATAACAAAAAGATCAAAAACATGCAGAAATTACAATTTTTCTGTTATGTTGAAATATTCACGCTTTTCTGGGACAACCCTCGAAGGTTTCTATTCAAAATAAATCTTGAAAACGCTGTCATAAGTGCAGATTTTTAAAGTAAATATTGTGAATTAATTCAGCTATCAACATGATTCAAAATATGTATTTTTCTATTATCACTATAGACTATGGAGAAATGGAATTTGTCTTCATTTCCAAAGGGCATGGAATGTTCAAAAACGTCTACTCCGGACATTAAAGTATATAATACAAACAAATCGGTATCCTACCAAAGCTGACAGTTGTGGGTTTGAATCGCGCTCTGGGAAATGGAATTCATATAAACCAAGGTCCGGGGTCGCAGGAGGTGCTGGCATGAAAAAGATCCACCACTGCTCATTGACTCTAAGTGCCGAATATAGGACACAATTTTCAGTTCTCAACCGGCAAGTGTTGGTGTCATAAAATTCTCAAGATGAGCGTTAAACAACACACAGTCAATCTATCAAAATTGATTTGCAATTGGTGAGCCATTGTTGTTAAAACTAGAGAACAAAACATAGCAGGTGTATATATCTTTTGTAAGTGGAATTCAATAACATTACATCTTTCGGGTGCAATCTATGGTCTAGTTAATCACCTTCTTATCATGTAATATTTGCTTCAAAAAGTATCGGCTAATCCTGAAAATGTAAATCAAATTCTTAAACTAAGGACCACAGAAATTATGAAGGTATTTCATGAATTTTCAAAATTGTCCGCTCCAACATTACTGCGTTATTCTTAATTTCTTCTTGTGAACTTCGTTTGAAAATTTCTATTTGAGAAGTTATGACCAAGAAGTTAAACATCGCTCTCACTCACAATAAAGAGGTCATTAAATGAAATGCTTTTAAAATTGTACATGGAAAAACAGTACATGTTTCATAACAATCAACATTTCATTGTTAATTTTCTCATATTACATATACTGGATTGCCATCTGATGAACAAAGCGCATCAGGTGTTGTCTAAACTCATTTTTAACAAATCATATGATATACTGTAAAATCACATATTATCGAGGGGTCAATTTTTCTTGGGTTGAGGAAAATATATTGGTTCAAGGGGATTTAAATTCATGGGTGAAGAATTGTTCAATAGTAATATATATGAAAAATTGCATTTCGTGTTGGTCCCTTTTACCTTGAAAATCACGCAAATTAAACCCCCACAAAGATAAGTAATTTCACAGTATTTATTTAATTTCATCTCTCTTTTTCCGACGATGACAAAAAGTCTTATTTATTTTATTACACATGTTGCTGAAAACATCAATTACATCCGGTAATATTAAGGCTGTTATCGTAAAACTTATCAGAAAGACGCCAACACTTCCTATCTGTACGGCGCTTGGACGAGATTCGTATACACTGATCAAACTTCTGTTATAGGCACTGGTGTTTGATTTATCTACGGAGAGATTCTTCTTCATATTTTTTATCCATTCTGCAAGGGTCTCATTGGTTATGTAGCTTCTGAGTCTCTTTGTTGTATCTAAGAAACGATACAAACCCTTATTTAAGCGGCATTTTAGATAATAAATCAAATGATATGAAAATTGAAAATAATTACATGTTTATTACATTTAAAGAATACATGAAAAACAAGATGTGTTTGTGAAACACTATGCGCCCGGTGGCAACAAAGTTCAAAAATATTTTTAGCAGAGAAGTCACAGTCAAGGTCACAGGGTCATTGACCTTGGTGTCAGTTGAAAGAGCTTAATTAGTGAAGGAAGCATACCAAATATAAAGTCTCTATCTCTCATGGTTCAAAAGTTATGGCGAAAGTTCTAAAAAGCTATTTTTAGCATACAGATCAGTCAAGGTCACAAGATCATGACCTTGGTGTCATTCGAAAGAACTTTATCGGTATAGTATGCATGACATATATGAAGTGTCTATCTCTCATGGTTCAAAAGTTATGGCGAAGGTTAAAGTCGAAAACAGACAGACAGGCAAACAGATAAACAGACAAACAGAGAAACAGACAGGACAAAAACAATATATGCCTCGGATCTATCGATCCGGGTGCATAATAAACAATTATCCCTCAGAGATCGATTATTTGGGAATTATTTTCATTTTTGGGGGGTGATTATGTTTACTTTAAACACAATTCTGTTGGTTTGGAAATATAAAAAAAAAATCTATGAACATGTACGTTGACAGCAATTGTGTCGAAGTCACAAGTGCTTGTGGACAGGATTATCACTAACCCCACCCCACCCCAACTCCCGTTCTTTTCAATTTAAAAAAATATCTGATTTGTTTTCCTTATTTCTAATATCTGACAACTTAATCTACTCGTATATGTTTCTTTTTGAAAACCATAGAAATATATCAGTTATATGCAATTTCTATTCTTTCTAATCGTTCGATTTTCCCAGGTGGTACCTCAATGTAAACAAACCGGACTTACTTTCCGTCTTCCTGTATATATAAACGTGAAACGACTGTCAATAGAAATTGCATATAATTGATATATTTCTGTGTTTTTCACAAAGAAACATATGCATTAAGTTGTCAAAGATTAGAAATAAAGAAAAAAAAATCAAATTTATTTTATATTGAAAAAAGGATAGATAATCCTGTCCACGAGCTCCTGTTGCCCAAGTGAGAGAAAAGGGGACCCATAAAATTTACGAACATTTGTCTTCCAGAAAGTCTGATGATTTTCTCAGTGTTCAATGTTCTTATATATTACATGCATGTAACTATTTGCTGGCAAAACAAAACAAATAGAATATGTATCCAGGGAAATATATTTTTATTTATGTATTCTTATGCTTATAGGCAAGCTCACCGTAGCTTGTTTTTGCTAATTTTGTATAAGTCAAATAAAACACTTTCATAGAGATGAATAATGTCATTTATTAAAATGACGGTATAAATGTGAAAAATTTAATTATTTATGAGATAATAGTACCTTGACACTGCAAACTGGTATTAGTCCACTTTCCAAACATACATGCTATTTTATTGTCAGCATTTGTTGGTCTGTATCCATAGCTACATGCATACATGGCTACGTCATTTTCAACAAGATAATCAGCATTTGTTATATTAGGAACTGGACCGCATGACGACGCTGAAAATATACAATGAGGTAGAGAAAAAATATAACACCCGTTATCAATGTTTAACTGTCGTTATTGTTAAAAGTAAATTTGCCATTATTTTGTGAGTGGGTTGAATTGACGTGCCACCATGATTCTGGTTTTGAAGAAAAGATATATATGAATATCAAATGATAAAATGTAATCTAAAATGCAACTATCAATGGATATGAAATATGAACACAATGAATTATTTGTCTTTGTTCCTACATGAATAAGTCCGGCGAGGCTCTGGGAGATGATTGATTATGCAATGTGAAACCCTAATTAAGAGATGATTATATGATCCGCCTTTGCTAGGGCAATTTAATTCTTTTTTTTTTATTTTCTGATAATCGTAATTCTAACTGTGTCGCAGAATCTTTACTGTGTCGCACGAGTAAAATAATTTGAATCGCTACTGTGTCAGGAAATGCACAGAAAAACAGCCATTGGAGAAACCTGACATGGATATTCCTCTTGACAAGACATTTCAATCGGTATATATATTTTTGACCCTTTGACCCAGAAGTTTGACTTGCATTTGAGATATTTCAACCTTCGCAATGAGATGCAATACGGGGGTATTAGTGTTTAACAAACGAATCTTGTTAAGCCCACGTAATCGAATATTCGTGGATATATATGTTTTGTCCTCACCGTCTCTCTGTCTGCCTGTCTGTCTGTCTGTTTGCATTTTACTTTGTCCGTATATTTTTGACAGGATGGGGCCATAGCTTTCATATTTCACTTATCCTTGTGACAAGAACTGTATTTGAGTACCACAAAATTTGACCACTTGGCCTTGACCTTGGAGTTTTACCCAATTCGACAAAAAAAAAAACAAAGTTTAACCTTGGCCAAAACTTTTGATCAATTGGTGCTAGGGATTTTATGGTTCACAAAGGTGTTCACCCTGACAAGACCTTTAATTTAAACAATATTTTTTTTCACATATGTTATTGTGAATAGGATTGGGCAGCAAGCGCGGCCTATTTTAGCCCTCTCCCTACATTAAGGTCAAGGTACAAACAAATAATGATAATAAGAAAATGTACAAAAGAAGAGAAAAAAAAAAACAAAAATGAGTAAAGTAACAGAAAAAAATACAGAAGAGGTCATATAAGGAAAAATTGTATAAAAGAGAAAAATAGAATGAACAAAATAACAAAAAGAGCAAATTACAAGGAGGGGGGGGGCGCAAAATACAAAGTAGTACCGGTGTAGGAATATTTCTAACAAATAAAAAATCAAATCTATATACATGTATGTATATGACAGTGTTTTATATAAAACGTTTTGTTGTTGCTATAAATGTATCTACAGCTTCAAATATTTGTATATTAACGTCAAGTCTATGATTACAACTGCCAGTTAACAATAAATCACATTCAGGGATAAGGTCACAGTTTATAATATTATGTATTGATTGAAAAAGTACACCTCTTGGAATTGTAAATTTTGGACAAACAATAAAGTAATGATAGGCATCTTCAATACAGTCTGTACAATGTTCACACATTGGAGTTTCTGCTAAATGTTGATTATACAAATCCGCTTTCAAATTACTAGCATTATTCCTTATCTGGCAATGTATTATGTTATATTTTCTTATTCCAAAATTAAAAAGTTCATTACTTTTTCTACAGAAATAAGAATTTAAAAGATTCTTGAATGAACATATTCCTGGGGCATTTTTAATGTAATCTGACAAGATATTCCAAGACAAGACCTTTTGATGAGTATAGATATTTTTAACTTTTGACTTTGACTATAAACCTTGACCCCTTTTCTAAACACTTTACTTTAACATTGACCATGCCATTTGAACAATCATTACTAGGGCTATCATATTTCACAGGAATATTTCTTGTGAAAAGACCTTCCATTTGATACCAAAATATTTGATCTTTTGACCTTATTGTTAGACTTTCAATTGAGAAACTTCTACAATTGCATCGGTGTTTCACTTTTTCGTTTTATTGTTTGCATATTCTATTCGAAATTGTATAGTTCGAAACTATAAGAATTGTCAATTATATAAAAAATGAGCATTGAGACATACTGCACAGACATCTTAAACAAACGACGTCATAGTGAAATATATTTTGAAGTATGTTCAAAGTGTTTTATTTATACAAATATCTTTTCATTTTCACGCTATCAAACTACTAAACCCTATTTAATTACTTTATGTCAATGATACTTACATATGTATAATAATTATTTTAAAATATTCTAAAATTACAAATCATTGTTTTAAAAACAATTTTTCGAAAGTTAAAACAAAGTTTTATTTTAAAAAAACAAGGATTTGGATAGCAAAAAAATAGTGATATCCTCCTACCATAGCAGGTGAAGTTTGTTTTCTGCCACTCAGATAGTAAGCAGTTTATTGAGTTGTTTCCAGATTTTTGAAGAAATCCCTCGCGGCAGGAGTATAGAGCAACATTCTTAGAGACCATGACGTCAGCGTTAGCAATGGTTGGTGGATCAGGACAAGATTCTGTATCGAATACATGCATGTATTGAAATTATATTAATTATTTGATATTTATAAATACAACATATTTATTCATTAACACGATTTACAATTTATATTTACCTTTCTGACTCAAAATGCTTTTAAAATATGATTTGGTGGATACCATTAATACAACCTTTTGTAAAAGATATATTTATGACTTTGTAAAGACTAAACAAAGTGTAACATAAAATATTTATATCGAGCGCAGCAAGCGTCGGAAAACGACGCTCGTCAAGTCGAGCTCTGACGACAACGCCTGTGTGAAGAGAAAATTCGGACTACTGAACATTCATTCGATAGAATTTTTCCGCAGTAATTTGGATTCACAATGCATCGTTTCGTACAAAAAGCTAAAGCAACGTTCTCACCTCACGAGAATAATAAAAAAAGTTAAACGAATAATAAACTTTCCTCGATTTAATTAATTTGTTGCAAAAAAAATTCTTCAATAAAACAGATTTTCATTAAATTCAGCACTGTTCAGGCTTCGATTTGGTAAAGCAACATGCATTCGACGTTGACGGTGCACCGTCAACATACTATTATTTATGAAATGCAATTCAAGACACTTTTTATTTGTAGAAAATGTAAAAAAGATCTTAATCCTTACTTATACATTTAAAGTCAGTGGACGGCCAGGTACTGTTTCTGCATTCAATGACGTCAACTGCATTTTTCATGGTAAAGTATCCCGTTAAGCAGTGATATATTGCTCTATTGTCCTGAACAAGAACTGCTGCATTTTCAACAGCGGGAGGTGATGAGCAGATGACTTCATATTTAAAAAAAAAATATGTCAGAATTTGAATATTTTAATCCTTGTGAATATATGAATATTTTTTCATTGATTGAAAATAGTTTTTGAACTACCGGTATTACATATTTTGTATATCATTTCAATAATATACCTTTGCAGAACATTGACGTCATAGACCATGAGCCATCTACACAGTAAGTTATTACGTCATCAGAACTTTCAGTGAACCCAGCCTTACAAGCGTACAATGCCTTACTACCATTAGTTACCCCATTATATAGTTTATGTGCATTGGCAATGTCAGGAGGGATTGGACATTCTAAAGTGTAGCATTCAGTACCATATAATAAATTAAATCCTGGGAAAAATGAAGTCAAAGAATTTTAAAGAAAACGAAATTTGAACAAAGAATATGGTTGACAATTGTCAGTTTAATTTAATTCTCTATTGTAATGGTCAATTAACAGCGTTTGAAAAAATAGAAGAATATTACAATACAATATTGTGGAGAAGAATTATACCTGTAGATATGCATCTCGCCTTTGACCAATCAGACGAGCATAATTCCGTACCATTACAAGGCGTGCCTACATAGAAGGAACCCTGTATTATTTGATAATTAAATAAACGGAATTCTTCTTATTATTATTTTCTTTTATATCAATATATATAAATAAAAATTGATGTCTAATGCATAATATTTTTCTGCGGGAAGTAGAGAACAAAGAACTTAAATTGAAAGAAAGTGTCATGATTTGATTATTTACTAAATGATTAAATACTTGCCTGTAATGTCAATAATTTTAACAATGACGTCAACAACGTCACTTTCTTGATTACTTTGCCCGTTACCCCACTTTCCACCCAGGTAAACCAAATGTCCATTTGTATTTGTCTGGGATGGTCTCCAGAGCATAACTTCTGTCTCATTGTATCCGTATATTATAGCTCCATATGGGTCATTAGAGGCATCAATCATAGCGCTACCGCCAGCATGAAACATGAATTCCTCATTGTTTTGAGATAATACCTTCATCTGAGAGAATTCAGCGGGAAACAAGTGTATAGAAAACATGGAACAAGGTATATAAGATGTATTGCATTGTAACTTTAATTGTATTTCCTTTTACCTATACTGACCATTTCAACTCCTGAAATTTATTTAGATAATATACATTCCCAGATGCGATTTTAGAATCAAATTCATTTAATCATTTGCTTGACAATAAATGGATTACTAGTATAATCATTAGAAACTCCAAACATTCTGTCATTTTGATGAATAAAACAGTATATATCTTTTTCAATCATAGGAAAAACTCAACATATTGAGGAAAGAGTTTTAAAACGACACTCAAAACTAAAGTAAACTGTTAAAACTAGCGTAAATAATGAATATGACCTGTTTAATATTGGACTATGTTTACATCCCTTAAAATTTATACTTACCAAAACCGAAACTAATGTTGAATCTAGATTATACACTGAATCCAGGCTCACTCGCTCGACAGTGTTTGTGTCGCTCTTATCTAGTGTGAATTGTGTAGAGAAATGTTTATTACAGGAATCCAGTATCCAGGCCTTGATATACAGGCTAGCAGTGTCACCTCTAAAGCTCTCTGCTCGATCTCCCCATCCATCGTGTGCACAAGCCACGGGATTTCCTAAAAATTACGTGAACATAATTCATACTGTATTGATTATTATATGAAATTTAATATTATGAAATTTTAAAAATAACCCACCTACCCCCAAATAAGATTATTTTTATTTGTTTGTTAAACGTCCCTATTAATAATTTTTCACTCATATAGAGACGCAAAATAATTAGGTAAGTGTAGGTATTCACATATTAAAACAAAAAATAGAAATACTGGTTTCTTTTTAAAAGAAATAGATCGTATTTAACAAATCAATTAGTTATCATATCTTAATTGATTGTTACACAAAGGGGATATATATCAAATAAGCATTATAAGCTAAGGTTCATAATTTCTGTTGGTGATCTGGTGCATGCAAACTGATATGTTGATGATTAAAAAAAATCAAATTTGTAAATCCAGGCAAATTTATTTAACCAATTGAAAGAAGATTGGTACATTTTTTTTTAAATTTCCATACAATGTGGATTAGGATCCGTCATATTTTAAAAAATCGAAACAAGTAACAAACCTTTTTTAATTAAAAATGTGCGATGAACAAGTTTATATTTAATTAAATCTACTTGTAATTAATATGATAGAGTGATAACAATGCTCACAGAAAATATTCTTACCAGACATAGACCACAGACGGATTTCGTGGTCGTTAAATGCAAAAACTGTCCCACAGATAGTTTCACGAGTTTTAAATACTTGTGAATTAAATGTCACACCTAAAATAAAATACCATAAACAGATGCATAAATGAATCATACTGGTTCTTTATTGTAAAATGCAAAAAGTTAACAAACATGAGAAAAATACTGTGGAATCATTTCATTCGTGGGGGGATGGGGGGTCAATGATTGAGGATAAACAAAATTTAAGTCAATATATATGTTTACAAAATAGTTGTTCGTGGGGATTTAAAATCTCGAGTTAGTGAAACCGACGATCATTTGGCCTCCACGAACATTGATGATTCCACAGTGTGAAGTAACAATTCAGCTAGACTCACCTGCTGCCTCGGAAACATAGCCATTGGTCATCTTTAACTGTACAACAACAAAATCTGGGTTTTTACCAAGACCGTGTGTAATAGTCTTATAACTCTCTCCTGGTTGAAAAAGAATTTCGTTCATTTAATTCTGGATTTTTAACTTTCCAAAAAAAAAATTGACCAAAAAAATGTGTGTATTGAATCATGTAAAACTCTACCAAATAGGTATTCTCATTTCAAATTAAATATATGTAAGTAATAATGGTTTCTAGAAATGTGGATATATTTTCTTCCTGTCGATAGGGCACAAATAGCTTATGTCTCCAGCTTTAATTTGATCTGAGAAGCGCAGAGCAACGAGCAGCGAAATTTAAAAATGTCTTATCATATACATAATACATTTTTGATGTTTAAAAAATACTTTTAAATATTGTTTTATTTTACTTAATAAGCTTTTTTTTTTAATTTCGTATAAATGCTCATATTAATTTTAATTCATAAAAAATTATAAACATATGATGTGTTTAAAATTAAACTTACATAATGCTCAGGAGAATACTTATGTATATATGACAGATATATGTATAGATGTGTAAGGCTCCAAAATGCGATGGTGTCGCCAAAGTCCGATGGTCTCGCCAAAGCCTCATGGTTTGTTGTCGTTACGGACGCCAAAGTCCGATGGTCACGCCAAAGTCCGATGGTTCGTTTCCTATGAGACGCGCTGCGCTGAAGTGTGTTGGTGTGACACGCCAAAGCCCGATGGTGCGGGAAAAGCTTTTCACGTTTATGACGTCATAGTATTCGGACGACAATCTTTGAACGTATTCAAAACCCAAAGAAAAAAATTGAAGCGGTGGTTTGTCCAGATGATGGATATATCTTTGAAAAAGTTAAGAAGAAGCGGCAGACAAATGACACAAGTCCAGAGCAGTTTTGGTCCCTTATGAAAGATGTCGAAAAAATATGCAAGTTAAAGGCAGAAAATCCCGAATGGTGAGCAAAAAAAAATTAAGGAGGAGCTAAGTATTCAGATGGGGGAAACAAGTATACGGAAATATGTGTCAAATTTTATATTTGACATTGATACAGAGTCCACTTTCTACAAGAGCTCGAAGGTAAGCGAGGTACATAGAAGAGTTCTATCCAAGGATCAGCTGATCGTCGACCACAGAAAAAGTGACGCCATCTATGAAGCAATAAGGAAAATTTTCCCGTCACTCGGGAAAACATTTATTTAAACAGCATGTAGAATGTAACAAGTGTCTTGCAACAGTTGATCTGCCAAAAACGGACAGGACGAGACGGCCCATTCCGGCATCATATCCAAACAGCAGATGGCAGATGGACCTAAAGAAAATGCCACCATGTAGAGGATTCAATTACATTTGTAACATAGTGGACCGTTACAGCAGCTTTGCTTTTGGAGCCTGTTTAAAGCAGAAAGCAGCAAAAGAGGTTTCGGGCGTTCTTCTGCGCTTTATCTACATATTCGGACCTCCAAGGATCCTACAAACAGATAACGGGAAAGATTTAAATAACACTGATTTATCGGCCATAATGGATGGATTTAAAACAAGACATGTAAATGGTAGACCTTACCATCCCCAGTATCAAGGTATTTTTTCTCTCGCTGCCATTGTTTTAAAATTTCTTATAATAGTTAACTAGTATAATAGTTTTTAGATTTACTACAGTTGTAAACATGTCAGGTTAATCAAAATTATTACATCAAAAATTTCATTTTTAATTAAATTAAAACTTAAGTAATATAGAAATGTAAAATAAAAATTCCCAGAGTAGTGTAAGCAAGAGTTAACACATTTTACAGGTCGAGTCGAAAGATTTGATAGAACTGTGATGGCATTCTTCAGGACCCAATTTGTCGACACCAGCGACTGGCCAAGGAACCTGGAAGTGTTTTATTATAAGAACAACATCTGCGTCTACAAGTCTACAGAGCCAATGACACCTCATCAGAATTTTTTAAAGAGACCAAACTTCTCTGTCGTAGTTGAAGAACAGGTAAAAATAATCTTAGAGTTGTATAAAAAAAATTTTAACAATGTAAAAGAGACACATCCCAGATAAAACAACCCTGATAAGTCTAATGGGGCACAAAGAATAACCCTAATCAGTCTAATGGGGCACAAGGACTAACCCTAATCAGTCTAATGGGGCACAAGGAATAACCCTAATCAGTCTAATACGGGCACAAGGACTAACCCTAATTAGTCTAATGGGGCACAAGGACTAACATTAATCATTTTAATACGGGCACACGGACTAACACTGATCATTTTAATATGGGTACAAGGACTAACCCTAATCAGTCTAATTCGGGCACAAGGAATAATCCTTATCACATGGAAGAGGGGGGAGGGGCTAAATTAATCGTATAGTCTGCGATTTATAATCTGTCTCTCTCAGTGATTATACAAGGAGTATCCCCAACGGATCTGCTGAAATGCGAGGATTAACCTACATTCCCCCCTCCCCCGATAAAATGCGAGGTTCTTACCGTAATCGTAATTATGCACTGATCATGAGCGCAGAGATAGTAGGACCCCCCTTTCCCTTCATTTAAAAAACTTTTCTAATGCTTAATGACAAATGAGGAGTTGTAAATCAATTTTGTCATAACGAATGATGATAAAGAAACGATCCGATTTTAAACATTTCTATATTGGTTAATGACAAATGTAGAGTTTAAATTAAATAAAAATTTTGGAGTTTTAAATTAATTTTGTTATAACAGGTCACCACTGGAGATCTAAATACGCTTCCGCTGGATTTGTCTCTCCAGCCCCGTGAAAGCAGTAAACCACTGCAAGATGTAACAAACTCTCAGATTATACGCAACGCTAAAAAAATACAGGTATATCGAACAGCAATGCACTATCATATACATTTAGGCTAAAAATACCGAGTAAGGAATTCGAATACATTTTGATTTCAATACTATTTTGTGTTTTTTGTGAATGATTTCTACACAATATTAAAGATGCACTTTAAGCCGTTTCAGTCCGCTGTAAGTCCATGTAAGTCCATCCTACAAAGATTTGAATACCCGGCTATTCCAGAACCCCTCAGTCAGCAACAAAAGAAGATATTTTGACCCTATTTTGCCCCATGAAAGCTGTAGGACTAAATTCTAAATTCTTTGCATTGGAAAATTGAAGAACAATAAGATAATTATTATAGACAAATTAAATGATTTTTAAAATTATCAAATTTATCCAACAGAATCCTGACCACTGAAACAACGACTTGTATCCACTTGAACTCTTTCCTAAAAAAAAAAAAGAAACAGTGACTGTAGCAACTCTGTAAAAGGGTTGATCCCATTGTGGACGGCATCGTAGATTTTAAACCGAATTCGGCGCTTTCTGCTGGTGCAAACGTTTTCCTGTCGGGCTATTGGAGGAAGGGACGAATAACTAAAATTGACATGGATGATAGCAAAGGAAAAGTGTACACTGTGAAGGACTGCTAGAACTGTAAAATTCACCTTTTGTCTAATTATCTAATACTCCTAACATGCTGTAAATTATAGATATATTTCAACAAATTTACAATTTAGGGTCTGGGAATAAATTTTATTCTGGATCTAGATGAAATATTTGTATTATGTTATAATTATTTATTTAGATCTACCATTGTTCATTGTTTTTGTGTATTTCATTGTACCATGGCATTACGTGGCACCGCAATTTGGCGCCATAGCATGATGACGTCACAAATATCTATCCTCTTAGTACCATCGGATTTTGACGTGCGACCCCATCGGACTTTGGCGACTGCTCGTGAACCATCGGACTTTGGCGTGTCAAAACATCGGAGTTTGACGCAGACCATCGGGGTTTGGCGTGATCATCGCACTTTGGAGTCCCATCGCACTTTGGAGTCCTACAGATATATCTTTTATGTTTTCCAAACAAACACAACTGTCCACAGAATATACTATGCAATCCAATGAAAGATTGTATAAATTATATATTAAGTTACAGAAATTTACTTAATAAATCAAGATATAACTTAGTAATGTTTCATTTTGGTGAATGTTTTATATGCCGTAAAATTTAAGCGGATTCGTTTATCTATGGGCAAAATATTAAAATACAGAAATACAATATGGGAGTTTATTAAAAAATAATATTACTTCTTCTCTTTTCATGTACCTTAATAGAAATGACGTCAGAGTCAATGTTTCAATGTTGTCTTTTTCAAAAAATTCAATAACTTCAAAATGAAATATCGCAATTGCTTCGGGTTTTCTCAAACAACAAAAACTTATTACAGACATGCTCTGTGGGTAAATCCTCCGCTTTGCGTTGGCATTGTTACAATTGAAAGTTTTAAGAATTTTAAAACAATGTTCTTTTTCGTTATTTCATCTTATCTAGCTTTAGAAACACAGTGATCAATATGCGTCTGCAAATCCACCCGTTCAAACGATAAACAAAACTTATTAAAATGCTCAAAGAAGAATGGAAGAATGGAAGAATGAACTTTCATTGCGTTGTGTTGTATGTACTTTTAATCACGATTTCTTCATATAAACGAGTTCATACAGTATGATATGAAAGTATATTCTGCATCTTTCATGTCTTAATTAACATTCACGCGGAGTTAAAGCATTCCTCTAGCGCGTTTAATAGTTAGTCGATAAATTCATTGATCCTTTTGGTTTTGTTTTTGTTTGAATAGGTTCAAAGAAAGTGGTATTAATGAATCAGGTCTCAATGTAAAGATTCTAAAAATATACATTTATTCCTTTAGAATATGCTAAATCATGCATGTTTTTTGGAGCTTTTTCAAATCTTATCTAGTTTCAGAAGTTTATATTTTGACTTTTTTTGTTTTCTCTGATGTTTTGCAGATAAGAGTATAAGAAATATATACATTAATATCAGCGTCATCGTGAAAAACGCACACATAGAAATATTTCGTAATTATATATTTTATTTCATTATTTTGTTACTACAACACAACGATTTTTTGTTTTCTCAGTGTGTTTGTATAATTTTTGATGTTTTGCAGCATCTTCAAAAATTTTTTTTTTAATAGAAAGAAATGTTATAAATATGATAGTGAACAATTAGTTTATATACATTAATACTAGAGAAAGGGAGAAAGAAAGAGCGTCGAAAGAATGAAGAACTCAATTATACAATAAACAACTGTATCAAATAGATTAAAATAGCATTGCAATTAAAAGGATTTGGAATGCAAACTTTTCACAATCTGGAATTCATAGTTACCACATCATAGTGAAAGGCGCAACGTGATCGCTTACAACGAAATCAGGGTCATATAATGGTAACCTTTCAATTATCCAAGCAAATGTTCACTTACGAGGATTTGGAAGTATCTCGAAATTCAGTTACGGAAGTAGCCTGCCAGGAATTGAAAAATCAGTACAGTAATATAACAAGTACTTGCTTTTAATTGTTTTAAAACGTGCGAGCTTGTTTTTTTTATTTTTTCTAATTTGGATTGGGAGTATAAATAACTGATTCAAAATGAAGGGTTTGGGATTGTACCAGTACACTGTAACATAGTTCAACTTTGAATGAATATATTGAATAATTTTGATAGATACAAGTCATAAATGATGTTTACACTTAGGCTTGTAGCACCTGACATTTTCAATCTAAATAAACTCTGATTTCATGACTAATGAAACCATTTCTTTTACAATGGAACATATGGAGATGACGAACAGTATTCAAGATCAAAACAAAAGTCCATAAAACAATACAAAACAGGAGCTGAGCAAACACGGAACTCAAAACATCAGAGGTTGGATCAGGTGCAATTGAGGAGTGAGCATCCTCGGCCGACCGGTCACACCCCTGCATGTTAGCTCCTTGTCATTATGGGGAAATTAATTTTGAAAGATATGAATAACCATGACGATTTCTTTGATTTTCGTTCATTATTGGAGAAAATGCAGCTATAATATTAATGTAATGGCATTCATTATGTTCTTTTGTGATCAACAGAGTAAAGATGAAAAATGATTAGAAATAATCCTAAAAATTATAATAAGGTGGGAGAGTTGGAAAATGCAATCGCATTCATATTATTATAAATTCTCGGTATGGGCTCTATAATATTATACATTTACATTTGAAAATGTTTTCCTTTACATAACACTACTGAAAGCAATGCGTATCTATAACCGTATAAATACCAGTGCGGGGTGAAGGGGTAATAGATGTGCGTATGGATAAACGTTCGACGTAATTTCTCAGTGACGCCATAAAGGGTCGACGCATGTTCAGTGGATTACATACATGCCGTAGGGTTTGAAAAATAATGCATTTCACAAGTTAAAGGTCACAATCAGGCAAATATAAAGTATGAATAAGTCACTAACGTAAATATAAGTAATAAGTTATCATTTTAAAACATCTATCGGGCTATAAAAACGGTTTGGTACGAGATTAAATTCATCATAAAGCCCTTTGGGCTTTGTGGAATTTAACCTTTTGGAATTTAACCTTATTTTGATATACCTTATTTCTTAAATGGGAATGATCACAGCAAAATGTTTTGAGTATAGAAATGATATAGATATATTATTTTATCTTAATTGGCCTTGATACATGTATATGACCAAAATTATATTAAAGTGACTTCAGTATCCGATGAAGCGTTCATAACTTTGCGTCGGATGAATTCTAAATAACTGTGTTTATTTTAGTTGTTTTTTAATGTTCGATATGTTTGATCAATGCATAATTCTCATGGCGGGTGCGACCTGTAAATTCTCATGGCGGGTGCGACCTGTAAAATGTGATTCTAACTTCTATTCCTGAATAGATACAAAGATATTGCCCGTCCCATTTTTTTTGTAAAAGACGCCAAATTTAACGTATTTCATATTTCACCTCGAAAATTATTTTCATTGAAAAAATTGATTTATTTTATAAATTAACAAATTTTTATAATTAAAATGACCTGAATGTATAATTCACTTCTATTATTTAAACTTTTAATTTTCCGTTATCAAAACCGTTGCCATGTGAAAATTTCAGAAACCACGAAGATAACGTTTTTTTTTATGTTTTTGATACAAAATTCATCATTGAAAAAAAGCAAAGCTTACCTTTTGAAATACTTTCACTATCATTACTTGTGAATTTCGCGGGTGGTAGATCACACAATCCCCATACCTTAATCCTAATAAAACCTACTGAATAATTTCCTTCAAATGGTCCAGAGAATGCAGATCCACCTAAAACATAATTAATACTAGAACTCATCGTTGAAGCTATACGCATTATATAAATATTGTACATTTTTATACATATTTCCGGTTTATGTAAAAAATTATATATTCCTGAATGCTTGTTTAGTCTGTCTTTTTTCTTGTGTTTTCATGTACGAGGGCTGTTCGAAAAGTTCGAGGACGTTGTCAACCTTCATTATTATTATTTACAATATAATATGTAAAAATATTTGTTTTGTTGTTATGTGAAGTTTTATTCAATAGAAGAGAAATCATTTACTTCATTTTAAAATCAACATGTTTTTTTTTACCCACGGAGCACACTTAACGGCAACGTCATACCATAGCGTCAAGAATTTAAAAAATATCCTACCCCTTTACATTGCACACGGTATAAACCAATGTCCACTCATTGCATCCTTTTTCTCATACTTGACAAGGATAAGCAACTCTGAAGCGCCTATAACATTCCAACTTTTTAAAAAGTTTTTTAAAGTTTTTGTTTCAGATTTTTACAGTTAAACAGTTTCTTCACAGATTGTCTTCATCCGATACAAAGTCTCTGTCACTCAAATACTGTCTGTGTTATTTGTACACACATGCACAACTTGCATGTGACATATTGTTTTTATTCCATCAACATATTCAGAGTTTATTCTGGAGTTTTGAACTGCTCCGCGATCCGATCTTTGCATATTAATAATCTGGATACGTTTTGAATAAATCATTCTTTTTAAAAAAATAATATACATCATTTGGATTATTTGTTAAAATATTTCTACTAAATTTGGATTGCAAATGACGTCAAATAAAAAAAAGACAAAAGTCCAGGAACTTTTCGAACAACCCTCGTATATACCCCGAATTTTCCATGATTCAACTTCAGCATAAAATTTTGCAGTTTATCCTAGCAACTACCTACAACTACCGTTTAAGCTCGAATGAATGTTTTAAATTAAGGAGGAACGCCACACCAACTTTTTATTTTATAGATCTCTGAGTCAACCTTTTTAAACAATGGTTTCAGCATTGAAAGGTCGACATTAGCTCTTAATTATTTTATATGAAATTTTTTGTACTTTTTCAAAGACAATTAAAAAAATTATTTACATCCAAATAAGATGCTTTCTTTAAAAATTCTGCTGTAAATGAATGCATCACAAATATTTAAAAAATTAATTTCTCTAAAATTTCTCAATTTCGTTTCAATTTCTTTTTAAAATATGACTGACAAACATGTTGTCCTTAGTTGTGACTAGTGTTATGGTGTTTTTAACCATAGGTTTAAAAAATATTCACAAATAATTTTTTTTATTTTCATAAATATTTTTTTATAAAAAATTAAAAAGTCTAACCAACATTTCTTCACATATTTTATAAGATATTTATATGATACATTCATTTACAGCAAACTTTAATTAACTCGAAAACAACTTATTTGGCTACAAATAATTATTTTTTTCATTTTCTTTGAAAAAAATACAAAAAAATTAATGTAAAATAGTTAAAAGCTAATATTGGCCTTTCAATGCTGAAACCATTGTTTAAAAAGGATGACTCAAAGATCTATAAAATAAAAAGTTGGTGTGGTATTCCACCTTAAATGTATTTAAATTATAAATTAAATTTACATGTATTTTGAACTTTTTTTCAAATGAAATCTGTGTCTAGCTCCCATGAACTACCTTCATTGAGAAATGTTATGATTTCATAATATAATAAAATTGTCATAATCTTCATAAGTATGTAACACTTGACTTTGTGTAATCCAATTATGCAAGTCGGCTTTGAGGATCTGTGATTGGCTGAAGCTGATCATGTGACCGTAAACAACACTATATAATGAAGCGCAGCTAAGCAGCGGGTTCTTTTAGCCGGATTGCCAGAAGGAAGAAGACGCATATTTCGGCGAAAAGGTTAGTTGGGTGAGTGGCCTAGTACTACTGAGGCTTACCACAATATTCTATCAATACTAGGTGGATTGCCTGACGATCAAGGCTTGCCACAATAAAAAAGTTCATATTGTGTCACTAACCATTTAGAGGCCGACCATAGAGGGAAGTTAACGTTCAATGGCTTGTCTGGTGACCTCTCTAGATAGTGTACATGTAAGTCTCTGATAGCACTGGATGACTGTTCTTCCTGAATAAGGGCAATTCAGTATTCTCTGTTGTCAGCTGCTGACCACTAGGAGATTAGGACTTAACATCGTGACTGATACTACGGGCATGAATAAGGCAATGCTGGTGTTGGTCTGATGGCAGTAGGTGAACCCTGTTACTTTTGTAAATATAAGGCCCACCTCCAAGTGTTATGTTCCCCTAAGTAAAGGAAGGGCCATATTTGTATATATTTGCAGGCCAATCATTTTATCCAATGATTTTTAAGAGGAAAATCATTGATTGTAAATATCAATCTTTACCGAGATCCTCGAATCAACCAGGTACGACCCCTACGACAACACAATTTACATGTCCTTATAACTTTAAATTCACGAAACTAGTAATTTGTCTGTAAAAATATAATTTGGGATCATTACATTTTTTTCATTTACAAAATCATCCTTGGGGGATAAATATCAAAGCAGTACAAGATTCTTCAATAAACTTTTACCTGTGAATATAAGTACTCCCTTGTTCGAATGGTTATTTCTTACAGGGACAAATATTTTTACATGATTCTCATTGTAAATATAAACAACACCACCGTAGATATTGTCAACGTCATCGTCTCTTTGTGCTGATCCAAATGCAGGGAAAGTGACGTCATATCCGTTTTCTTGAATTTTTACCTGCACCTCAACTTTTGCAGGCATCTGTCCTAGGGGATGTTCAATGAGAAATGGGTCAGATTTTTGTGATTCAACTTGAATCCAGTCGCTGATGTATACAGAATATACGCAACACTCTAATGCTAAATAAAAAAAATAAAACACAAAAGTATCAACAAACAAAAAGTGGGAACTAAAAAAAATATATATATATATATATTTTATGTATGCATAATATAAAGAAAAGTGAATTGATAATTGAGCTCTTTTTTTACATAGTTTTCCCCACAAATTGAACTAAAACCGATATGCATTCTAATGTTTTCAGTGTAAAAAGACATTAAATAATGTTTAGAGCGTTAATCATCTTTTCTAAATAAATATATTTGGTATCAGAATCTTTAGCATATAAACATGATATCAGAAATATATTGAACATGAATACATTTTTCTGTGATTTGTCGACACAAAGTACTATCTCGCAAAAACGCAAAAATGAAATAACGCAAACATTTCATGATCAGAATTACCTCCATTGCTCTAATCAAAATTTGATCTCTCCTCCATTAATTTCATAGATAAATCAATATCTTCAATCTATTTCTCCACGCCATACAATCATATAATAAACATAGTTTAACAAATATTTATTGATCACAAATATTAAATAATTATTTATTGCAAACAAAGATTCAATAAAAAAACATTATCTTTTCCCATTTTTCTTTGTGGATGAAACAGCATTCAATAAAAAAAAATGGTCCCGCTTTCTTACATTTCATTAAATCTTACTGAAAAAATGTAGCTGTTTGGTAAAATGCGGTTATAGTTTTTAAATTCAGTTCTTTATATTCTGAAATAAAAGTGGAAGGAGAGAGAAAAAATGAAAATGATAATCAGGTAATATGTCTCATGCCTAGGTCACATTTAAGACGATGGTCGGGCGACTAAATTTTTCTGGTCTTGTCGGCTGAAAGAACATGATCGGCCGACACAGTATCGGGCGACACGGAGCAGTCACATTATTTCCTAGGGACACCGATGACTTGGATAAATAACACAAACAATCTTTTTTCTTTAAAAATCAGCAATATTTTTTCATAGATCTATGTTTAGATAGGTGATGCAAGTAATGTTTGCGAGGCAAAGTGGCAGAATCTTATAAAATTGTTACTCAATGTTGAAAATGTGTGCAAAATTTTGTATGGAATTGCATAAAAACGAAAAATGGCGCATATCTAAACAGCAAAGAATATTTAAGATTTCTTCATATCTTATGGAATAATTATTAATGTAATATATATCAATCCATGCATCAAAATTTTGTTTGTGTTATGTATCCTTAATAGATTAAATATTCATAAGTCGGCCATTTGTCGCCCGATCATCGAGCTCTGAGCTACAGTTTGATTGTAAACGTCGGCCGAACTAATGAACACCTTTATTGTCGAATGACGGACGACCGTCTTTATAAACTGACTCCCGATGGTCGGATGATGATCGAAGGTTGGTCGACGGATAACTTCAATTGAAAAATCGGCCACCGACGCAGAAAAAATTATAAATTGGACCGATGGACACAAAATTGGTCGGCTGACAATAAAAGAGGTCAAAATCGGGCAAGACAGCGGCTGATGAACTGCCGACTGTCACCCGAAGAATCTCATATTTGCTTCAAAACCCGTCGGCCGTTGGTCGTTTTTGGAAATGTGACTGGGGTTTTACAGTAGACATTTTCGTTATTCTTAAAGTTATTCAACTTTTATAAACAGATATACTTCTACTGAAAATCGCTGTGAAAAGCTGATATCTACCAATTAGTATACTTTGAAGAGTTTTAACTTTTTGTTCATTTACTCATTTAGTGGTTTGAAAATTTTAATCATAAGAACATGATGAAAATCACAAATTAACTTACTGGTTAGAAAGAAGAATAATCCTTTCATTGTGTTAATCTGATTTTACATTGTTTCTTCTTCAAAAAAGCAACCCATTGATATCCGACGATACAAAATTGACGACCGGAGGCGTGAAAAAAGATTCTAAGTCATGTGATCTGGATTAATTTTTATTTCATCTTTGGTATTGATTAACTATCATAAAATGCATATAGACATTTCACAGGTGTTAAATATTAATTAACGTACTCGAAGTAGATGTAATATTATTTCATTTATAAATGGGTTTAAATACCATTTTGATCTAAGGTATTATATCCACTCTTTGTGCGTAATGTCAATACAAGAGGAAAAATATTATACAATATGCAAAAACGGAAGCTGTCCCAGAAAATTGCGAACATTTTCATTATATTTAGTTTCACTTAGACTATAAAGCTAAAAATTAGAGTACATCATTAACAAAACCTTAATTGACAATGTTCTTCAAAAAAGTAAAAAAAAAATTGGAGTGCGCCGATCACCAAAATTTAACAACTTTTTAATCCTGTTTTTATATGCATATGCCATCAAAGGCCTACAATAATTTGTCATAATAAGAAAAAGATCATTTTTCAAAAGCATGCAGAAATTATAATTTTTCTGTTAATTTGAAATATTCACGTTTTTCGTTTTTCTGGGACAGCCCTCGAAAGTTTCTATTCAAAATAAATTTTGAAAGTGCAGATTTTAAAAGTAAATATTGTGAATTAATTCAGCTATTAACATGATTCAAAATATGTATTTTTCTATTTCCATTAGAGGCTATGGAGAAATGGAATTTGTCTTCATTTCCAAAGAACATGGAATGTTTAAAAAAGTCTACTCTGGACATTAAAGTATATAGTACAAACAAATCGGTATCCTACCAAAGCTGATAGTTGTGGGTTTGAATCCCGCTCTGGACATGGAATTCATTTAAACCGAGCTCCAGTGTCGCAGTAAGTGTTGGCACGAAAAAGATCCACCACTGCTCAATGACTGTAAGTGCCGAATATAGGACACAATTTTCAGCTCTCCACCGGCAAGTGTTGGCGTCATAAATTCTCAAGATGAGTGTTAAACAGCACACAGTCAATCTATCAAAATTGATACGCAATTGGTGAACCATTCGTTGTTAAAACAAGAGAACAAAACCATAACAGGGGTATATATCTTTTGTAAGTGGAATTCAAGAACATATTTCGGTTGCAATCTAAGGTCTAGTTAATCACCTTCTTATCATGCAATATTTGCTTCAAAAAGTATCGGCTAATCCTGAAAATGTAAATCAAATTCTAAAACTAAGAACCACAGAAATTATGAAGGTATTTCATGAATTTTCAAAATTGTCCGCACTAGCATTACTGTGTTATTCTTATTTCCTTCTTTTGCACTTCGATTGAAAATTTCTATTTGGGAAGTGATGACCAGGAAGTTAAACATTGCTCTCATTCACAATAAAGAGGTCATTAAAATGAAATGCTTTTAAAATTGTACATGGAAAAACAGTACATGTATCATAACAATCAACATTTCATAGTAAATTTTCTCATGTTACATGTTCTGGATTGCCTTCTGATGAACAAAGCGCATCAGGTGTTGTCTAAACACATTTTTAACAAAACATATAATATACTGTAAAATCACATATTTTCGAGGGTTCAATTTTTTGTGGATTGAGGAAAATATATTGGTTCATGGGGATTTAAATTCATGGGTGAAGAATTGTTCAATAGTAATATATCTGAAAAATTGCATTTCGTGTTGATCCCTTATACCTTGAAAATCACGCAAAATTAAACCCCCACAAAGATAAGTAATTTCACAGTATTTATTTAATTTCATCTCTCTTTTTCCGACGATGGCAAAAAATCTTATTTATTTTTTTACACAAGTTGCTGAAAACGCCAATTACATCCGGTAATATTAAAGCTGTCATCGTAAAACTTATCAGAAAGACGCCAACACTTCCTATCTGTATGGCGCTTGGACGAGATTCGTATACACTGATCAAACTTCTGTTATAGGCACTGGTGTTTGATTTAACTACGGAGAGAGTCTTCTTCATCTCTTTTATCCATTCTGCAAGCGTCTCATTGGTTATGTAGCTTCTGAGACTCTTTGTTGTATCTAAGAAACGATACAAACCATTATTTAAGCCGTCTTTCAGATAATAAATTAAATGATATGAAAATTAAAAAGAATTACATGTTTATTACATTTAAAGAATACATGAAGAACAAGATGTGTTTGTTAAACACTATGCGCCCGGCGGCAACAAAGTTCATAAAATATTTTTAGCAGATAAGTCACAGTCAAGGTCACAGGGTCATTGACTTTGGTGTAATTTGAAAGAGCTTAATTAGTGACGTAAGCATACCAAACATAAAGTCTCTATCTCTCATGGTTCAAAAATTATGGCAAAAGTTCTAAAAAGCTTTTTTTTAGCATACAGGTCAGTCAAGGTCACAAGGTCATGACCTTGGTGTCTTTCGAAAAAACTTTATTGGTGGAGTATGCATACCATATATGAAGTCTCTATCTCTCATGGTTCAAAAGTCATGGCGAAGGTTAAAGTTGACAACAGACAGACAGACAAACAAACAGACAAACAGATAAACAGACAAACAGACAGGAGAAAAACAATATGAGCCTCTGATCTATCGATCCGGGCGCATAATAAAAAAAATTTCCCTCAGAGATCGATTATTTGGGATTATTTTAATTTTGGAGGGTAATTATTTTTACTTTAAACACAATTCTGTTGGTTTGGAAATATAAAAAATTCGACGAACATGTACGTTGAATGCAATTGTGTCGAAGTCAGAAGTGCTTGTGGAGAGGATTATCAATAACCCCACCCCACCGCACCCCCGTTCTTTTCAATTTAAAAAAATATCTGATTTGTTTTTCTCATTTCTAATATCTGACAACTTAATCTACTCGTATATGTTTCTTTTTGAAAACCATAGAAATATATCAATTATATGCAATTTCTATTCGTTCTAATCGTTCGATTTTCCCAGGTGGTACCTCGATGTAAACAAACCAGACTTACTTTCCTTCTTTCTTTATATATAAACGTTAAACGACTGTGAATAGAAATTGCATATAATTGATATATTTCTGTTATTTTCACATAGAAACATATGGATTAAGTTGCCAAAGATTAGAAATAAAGAAAAAAAATCATATTTATTTTAAATTGAAAAAAGGGGAGATAATCCTGTCCACGAGCTCCTGTTGCTCAAGGGAGAAAAAAGGGTGATCCATAAAATTTACGAACATTTGTCTTCCAGAAAGTCTAATGATCTACTCAGTGTTCAATGTTATTATATAGTACGTGCATGAAAGTATTTGCTGGCAAAGCAAAACAAATAGAATATGTATCCAGGGAAATATATTTTTTATTTATGAGATAATGGTACCTTGGCACTGCAAACTGGTATTAGTCCATTTTCCAAACATACATGCTATTTTATTGTCACCATTTGTTGGCCTGTATCCATAGCTACATGCATACATGGCTACGTCATTTTCAACTAGATAATCAGCATTTGTAATATTAGGAACTGGACCGCATGATGACGCTGAAATTATACAATGAGGTAGAGAAAAAATATAACACTCGTTATCAATGTTTAACTGTCGTTATTGTTAAAATTAGATTTGCCATTATTTTGTGAGTGGGTTGAATTGACGTGCCACCATGATTCTAGTTTTGAAGAAAAGATGTATATAAATATTAAATGATAAAATGTAATCTAACATGCAACTATCAATGGATATGAAATGTGAACACAATGCATTATTTGTCTTTGTTCCTACATGCATGAGTCTAGCGAGGTTCTCGGAGATGATTAATTATGCAAGGTGAAAGGATTAAGTGATCCGCCTTAGCTAGGACAATTTAATTCATGTTTTTATTTTCCGGTAATCATATTTCTAACTGTGTCGCCGAATGTTAACTGTGTCGCACGAGTAAAACTGTAATCGTTACTGTGTCGGGACATGCACGGAAAAACAGCGCTTGGAGAAGCCAGACATGGATATTTATCGTGACAAGACATTTCAATCGGTATAAATATTTTTGGCTTTTTGTCCCTTTGACCTTGCATTTGAGAAATTTCAACCTTCGCCAGGATTTGCAATTCAGTGTTTCACAAACAAATCTTATTAAGCCCCCGTAATCGAATATTTCCGAGAGTATATGGCTTTTGCCCTGTCCGTCTCTCTGCATGTTTTTCTGTTTTCCAACAAAAGCTTTAACTTTGTCAATAAATATTTGACACGATGGGGTTATAGCCTTCATATCTCACTAAAGTATTCCTTGTGACAAGCCCTTTATTTGGGTATGGCAAAATTTGACCACTTGACCGCGGAGTTTGACCCACTTTGACAAAAAAGCCAAAGTTTAACCGCCGTGGCCAAAACTTTTGATCAATTGGTGCTTGGGCTTTTATACTTCACATAGATATTCATTTTGACAAGACCTTTTAATGAGTATAAATATTCTTTACCTTTTGACTTTGACCATAAACCTTGACCCACTTTCTAAAAACTTTAATTTAACATTGGTCATAATATTTGAACAAGTATAGTACTAGGGTTTTCATACCGTATAAGTAGAATTTTTAGCAAGAATTTCATTTTGGCATTATTAGCGAGGGTGTCAAGATCGCTAAAATTGAATATCGCTAAAAATTAATTGCGTTTTATTTGTAATAGTTTCTTTAATATGCATTTTAAAATAGCTGAAATAACATCTCGCTAAAAATAAATTACCAGTTTTTAAGGACAAATCGCAAAATTTGCGTCTCGCTAAAATTTCCACTTACACGATATTTCACAAGGATATTTCTTCTGAAAATACCATCCTCTTGATACCAAAATATTTGATTTTTGACCTTGTACTAAGACTTGCATCTTAGAAACTTTAACCTTCGCATCGGTGTTTCACTTTTTAGTTTAGTTGTTTGCATATTCTATTCGAAAATATAAAGCTCGAAACTACAAGAATCGTCAATATGTCCTATTTCGTCAATGGAGGAGTAAATGTTCTTAGTGCGTTCTTTTGTAAAAAAAAAAAAAGAAAAAAAAGTCGCAAAATATACAAATCTCGCAGGATTTCTGGTACAATGGTAACATAAACAATCATCTAAACAATATGTTTGATGTCGGTGAAAAAATCCTAATAAAAATCAAATGAATCATTTTATCAATGTGGACTTTATATGCATCAAAAGTATAAAACGACAACGATATCAATTTTTATCTATTTTTTATAGTATGTATCTGTTTATCACCTGAATAGAATCCACATGCCTCGGGAATTTTTATAAAGGGATGATGGATTTAGGGTTCTCGCTCTCTTACAAATTATGTCTTTTAGTTCATCTACTCTTTAATCGGAATGACAAATACATTTAACTTTTTAAATTGGATTAAGATTTGCATGTTTCAAATTATCCAATTGTGTATGTTCAAGTTTGGTATTTTTACAAATAACTTTTCCTTTTCACGCTATCAAACCATAAAACCCTATTTAGCTACTTTATGTCAATGATATTACATATGCATAATTATCAACGTAAAAAGCACAACATATAAACTGTCAAAACAAAGTTATATTTAAAAAACATGGTTCTGAATAAATAGTGATATCCTCCTACCATAGCAGGTGAAGTTTGTTTTCTGCCACTCAGATAGTAAGCAGTTTATTGAGTTGTTTCCAGATTTCGGAAGAAATCCCTCGCGGCAGGAGTACAGAGCAACATTCTTAGAAACCATGAAGTCAGCGTTAGCAATGAGGGGAGGATCAGGACAAGATTCTGTATAGAATACATGCATGTAGTGATATAACTATAATCAGTTGATATATATACAATATATTAATTCATGACTTACAGACTACTTTTACATTTGTACCTTTCTGAATTTCAATACTTTAAAAATATGATTTGATGTATACTATTAATACAACATTTTGTAAAAGATATATTCATGACTTTTTAAAGACTGAACAAAGGGGAACAAAAACATCTATATTTATAAAATCACTTGTAGAACATGTATAAAGATCTTGATTCTTACTTTTACATTTAAAGTCAGTGGACGGCCAGGTACTGTTTCTGCATTCAATGACGTCAACTGTATTTTTCATTGTGAAATATCCCGTTAAGCAGAAATATTTTGCTCTATTGTCCTGCACAAGAACTTCTGCATTTTCAACAGCGGGAGGTGGTGAGCAAACGACTTCATATTAAAAAAAACACAAATATGTTAAAATTTGAATATCATAATCCTGATTAATATTTTTTTTCATTGATTAAAAATAGATTTTGAACTATCGGCATTACATATTTTGTATACCATATCAACAATATACCTTTGCAGAACATTGATGTCCTTGACCATGTGCCATCTACACAATTAGTTATTACGTCTTCGGAACTTTCCGAGAACCCAGCCTTACAAGCGTACAAAGCCTTGCTACCATTAATTACTCCATCATATAGTTTATATGCATTGGCAATGTCAGGAGGGATTGGACACTCTAAAGTGTAGCATTAATTACCATATTTTAAATTAAATCCTTGGAGAAATGAAGTCAAAGTATTTTAAAGACAACGAAATATGAACAAAGGATATTGTTGACCATTGTCAATATAATTTGTTTCTGTATTGTAATTATCGTTAAGGGACTCCGATCCTAAGCCAGGAAGGACAACTCTTTATTTTGTTATTTGATTCAAAAAGTCTCAAAATGAAGCTCGAAAATTAGATCTTTTAATGCACCAATTTTCAACTTCTCAATGTGCTTCAAAGTTCTTTGACATTCTCAGAAAGGTCTAATTAAAGTCGAATTTTTGCCCAATAAAAGCATTTTAAAATTTCATATATCAAAAAAATGATGTTCATTTCAATCTATATTCATAGATACCGATGTTTATTAACATGATATGAAATTAAAAGTGATTTATGGTGCTTTGCAATAACAGGAGAATCTTTATACACCTTGTATTGTTAAATAATCGAAGTAAATAAAAGAAATAAGAGTACATTATATGCATAACAAGAGACCCAGGGGCCACAGCGCTCACCTGAGCACATCAGCTAGGAAAAAGCACATATCATAATTTGGTCGAACTAGAATCTACACTACCTGAGGATAATTCTACATAAATATTACTAATCATGGCTTTGAAGTACTTGAAAAGAAGATTTTAAAAGGTTTCCCTTTATATTTCCTATGAGAATTAATTTTTGGTCGGCCATTTTGGCCCAAACCCTACCCCCAGGGGTCATGATTTGAACAAACTTGAATCTACACTACGTGAGGATAATTTCACATGAGTTTCATTTTTCCTGTCTCAATGGTTCTTGAGAAGAATTTTTTAAAAGGATTTTCCTATATACTCCTAGGTAAAACTTTGATCAGCCATGTTGGCCCCACCCTACCCCTGGGGGTCATGATTTGAACAAACTTGAATCTACACTATCTGTGGATGAATCCTTATGAGTTTCATCTTTCCTTGCTCAGTGGTTCTTGAGAAGATTTTAAAAGATTTTTCCTATTATATTCCTATGTGAAACTTTTATCGGCCATTTTGGCTCCACCCTTACCCCGGGGGTCGTGATTTAAACAAACTTGAATCTACACTATCTGAGGATGATTCCACATGAGTTTCATCTTTCCTGGCCCTTTGGATCTTGAGAAGAAAATTTTAAAAGATTTTTGCTATATACTCCTATTTAAAACTTTGATCGGCCATTTTGGCTCCACCCTACCCCCGGGGGTCATGATTTGAACAAACTTGAATCTACACTATCTGAGGATGATTCCACATGAGTTTCATCTTTCCTGGCCCTTTGGATCTTGAGAAGAATATTTTAAAAGATTTTTGCTATATACTCCTATGTAAAACTTTGATCGGCCATTTTGTCTCCACCCTACCCCCGGGGGTCATGATTTGTACAAATTTGAATCTACACTATCTGAGGATGATTCCACATGAGTTTCATCTTTCCTGGCCCTTTGGATCTTGAGAAAAATATTTTAAAAGATTTTTCCTATTATATTCCTATGTAAAACTTTGATCGGCCATTTTGGCCCCACCCTACCCCCGGGGGTCATGATATGAACAAACTTGAATCTACACTACCTGAGGATGATTCCACGCGAGTTTCATCTTTCCTGGTCCAGTCGTTTTTGAGAAGAAGATTTTTTTAAAATGGCATTAATTTTTCTCAAATTCATAATTATCTCCCCTTGGAAAAGGGCGTGGCCCTTCATTTGAACAAACTTGAATCCCCTTTACCCAAGGATACTTTGCAGCAAGTTTGGTTGAAATTGTCCCAGTGGTTCTTGAGAAGATGAAAATGTGAAAAGTTTACGACGACAACGACAACGACAACAACGACAACGACGACAGACAACGGAAAAATTTTGATCAGAAAAGCTCACTTGAGCCTTCGGCTCAGGTGAGCTAAAAATTGCGGAATTTTTTAAAAAGCCTGGATGCCTATGATTTTTATTTTTAAAATGTGTTTATTGATCAAATATGAATTGGGAAATGCATAGCAGGTGTTTCTATTCGCAATTCTTGAAAATATATTCGAGATTTACCAATTTTCTCTATATGATATGATTAATTTGGAAGATGAAATTTGAAAAAATATTATGGGTAAAAACACTTTACTTTGAAAATTCAGAGACATTTTTGTGAGCATTTTCAATTAGTCAATGCTTGATTTTTCAGAACCAGAGGATCGGAGTACCTTAAATATTGTTTGTTGAAAAAGTAGAAAAATAGAATAAAACTCTTGTTATTCTTCTCAAACATTGGAAATGATTAATCAAATAACCCTTACAATATCGTGGAGAATAATTATACCTGTAGATACGCATCTTGTCTTTGACCAATCAGGCGAGCAAAAATCCGTACCATTACAAGGCGTGCCTACATAGAAGTAATCTGTATTATTTGACAATTAACTAGAGGTAATTCTTCTTCTTATAATTTCATTTTACATCTATATGTAATCTCAATATCTATTCACAGAAAGTTTGATTGACAGGAAAATACATTCTGATGTCTAATGTACAACATTTTTTTATCTGCAAGGGGTGGAGAGCAAAGAACTTCACATGAAAGAAAATGTCAGGATTTGATTATTTACTTAACAATTAAAATACTTGCCTGTAATGTCAATAACTTTAACGATGACTTCCACAATATCACTCTCTTGATTACTTTGCCCGTCACCCCACTTTCCACCCACATAAACTAAATGTCCATTTGTGTTTGTCTGGGATGGTCTCCAGAGCAGAACTTCTGTCTCATTGTATCCGTATATTATAGCTCCATATGGGTCATTAGAGGTATCAATCATAGCGCTACCGCCAGCATGAAAAATGAATCCCTCGTTGTTTTGAGATAATACCTTCATCTGATGGAATTCAGCGGGAAACAAGTGTAAAGAAAACATGAAACAAGGAATATGAGATGTAATCTGAATTGTTCTCCCTTTTACCTATACTGCCATTTCAACTCATAAAGTTTGAATATTTTAAAATTCCACATATTGCTTTAAAATTCTTACTTACCAGAACAGAAACTAATGTTGAATCTAGATTATACACTGAATCCAGGCTCAGTCGCTCGACACAGTTTGTGTCGCTCTTATTTAGTGTGAATTGTGTTGAAAAATGCTTATTACAGGAGTCCAGTATCCAGGCCTGGATATACAGGCTAGCAGTGTCGTCCCTAAAGCTTCCTGTCCCCCAACCATCTACTGCACAAGCCACGGGATTCTCTACAAATTACATTGATACATTTAATACTGTATTGATTAATTTCATGAAATTTAAAAATTTTTTTATTCTAAAAATAACACAAAAAATAAAGGCAAATTTTTATTTTTTGTTTGTTGTTTAACTCCCCTCTCGAAAATTTTTCACTCATATTGGAGTGCAAAATCATTAGGTAATTGTAACAGTATTTATTCACATGATAAAACAGATAATGGAAATACTGGTTATAATTTCTTTGGCTTCAAAGTTAATAAATCTTTTTAACCAATCAGTTAGCTATTATATCTTAAATGATTTGTAATATTCTAAGTAAATATATATTAAATACGTATTTTTAAAGTAAAGAGATTATAAATTAAATACGCACTTTAAAAGTAAAGTTTAAATCCCTTTGTGATAATTCGGTGAATGGAGGATATTTTATGACAAAATCATAACGTTGATTAAATAAAACAAATTTGTAAATCCAGGCAAAGTAAAACATGAAATTGAGCGTGAATCCATGCATGTTTTATTTCCATACTATGTGATCTAAGACCCTTCTAATTTTAAATCAAGAGGCCAATGGGCCAAATCGTTCACCTGAATATCATTGGTCATGCTATTATTTACCAGATTTCCTCCTTTGTAATATCTATTGTTACCCCATCCTACTCGCTGGGGTCATAATCTAGAGAATATAAAATCTTGGCTACCCCAGAGAATGCTTTCATATAAGTTTCAGCCTTTCAGTGGTTCCTGAGGAGAATATTTTTAAAGATCTCTCCTATATATTTCAATGTAAAACTTGGATTTCCTATTTTGATCCCGTGCGGCCCCGAGGGCCATGATTTTAACAATTTGGAATCAAAACTACCCTAGGATGCCTCCACATAAGTTTTAGCATTTCAGGCCAAGAAGCTCTTGAGAAGACGATATTTCCTATAAATATTTCGATGTTGAATTTGGATTCCATATAATTGGCCAGCCCTACCCCCGGGGTCATGATTTGAACAATTTCGAATCTACACAACCCAAGGATGCTTCCATAGATGTTTAAGATTTTCTGACCCAGTGGTTCTTGAGAAGAATATTTTTTATGCCCATACCCTATTTTTTGTATCTTGCTTATCTCCCCTTCTAGGGGAACTATTCCCTTCAATTTGATAATTTAAACTTCTTTTCCCCCGAGAATGCGTTGTATCAAATTTGATTAAAATTGGCCAAGTGGTTCTTGGGAAGAAGATGACAATATGTGATAAAGAACAAGGCTCACTTTTGCCTTACTTGGCCCTTTGAATTTCTGAAAAACTGCAACTGCATAGTTTTACTTAACAATGCTTTAAATATCACTAAGATCTTTGGTGACTGCGTATCTATCAAAAATGACGTCATTTTCTGGCTAGTCGATGCATTATGAGGTCACGAAATGCGTCAATTCCCGCATATTCCGCGAAAGTCTACAAAAATGGCCAATTTTTAAAGCTACTTTTTTATATTTAATATAGAGCGCAACCTCTGATCTAAAATATGCAACTAGTAAACGATGAATCTGTTTCTGAGGATTAATGGACATGTTTTATTTTTTTGATCATATTATTTTTCTTCACTGAAAGTACTCAATTATACCTGTTTACCTAAAAATTCAAGTACATTGCAACTTCATAAAGCCAGTTCTCCTAGACCTGGACTTTTAGAAGAATTTTTTAAATAGGATATGAAAGTACCAAGTCTCTATTTTATTTTTATGCTTCAAATAGAAAATCAAGTATTGATCAATTAATTGGTATATCTACAGGGCCATTTTATGCATAAAGTGAACCGACTTCTTTGCAGCGGATAGACGGACGAATAAGGGGTGATCAGAAAAGCTAACTTAAGCTTTCAGCTCAGTTGAGCTAAAAAAACTAGAAATAAGTAGTTTTTTTTTAAATCCAAATATATAATGAACAAGTTTTTATCTTTTATTAAATCTAATAGTTATAATGATAGAGCGATTACATGCTCACATTAAAATCTTACCAGACATAGACCAGAGACGGATTTCTTGGTCGTTAAATGCAAAAACAGTCCCGCAGATAGTTTGATGATTAAAGATTTGTGAATTAAATGTCACACCTACAATGAAATGCCATAATCAATAGAATGCCATAAACAAATCCTTAAATGAATCGTCTTGGTTTCATACTGTAAAATACAAAACAATTTACCATCTGAGAAAAATACCGTGGAATCATTTTATTCGTGGGAGGTCAATTATCCTGGTTCAGCATTTTTTTCTTTGAAACTTTAAAAAAGTGCGTGAGTAACTCTTACATATATACAAAGAAGTTTTTATAAGTTCATAAATATGTAGACAAAATAGTTTTTCATGGCGGATTTAAAATCATGGGTTATAGTGGTCTACGAAATCGACAAACAGTGGGTCCCCACGGTCATTGATGATTCTACAGAAAGTGTGAAGTTACAATTTGACAGTACATACCTGCTGCTTCGGAAACATAGCCATTGGTCATCTTTAGCTGAACAACAACAAAATCTGGGTTTTTACCAAGCCCGTGTGTAATAGTCTTATAACTGTCCCCTGGTTAAAAAAGAATTTCGTTTTTTTTAAGTCTGGTTTTTTTAACATTGCAATAAAATTATTGCAATTGCAATTGATAATCAAATAAAGACGTGCAATAGAAATTTGGATTAAAGAATATGTGTATTTTAAAATCACAAGACCCATTTACCAAAAAACTAATTATTTAATTTTCAGAGTAATAATGGATTTTGGAAATATGAGAGAGCCTATCAGAATTTGGGATAGAACGATGTCATTCATCCCTGTCGATAGGGCACAACAATTTAAATGCATTTGCTTTGATCCGATAAGCGCTGAAAAACGTACGAAATTCATAAAACTCTTTTTTCATTCCTAATATATACTTTACGTCTAAAATTATAAATCAATTTATTACTTTACGTCTTAAGTATTATTTATGTTGTGTCTAAGCATAAATTTGAATAATGCTCCAAAAAAATAAGATATTAGATATTTATCTTCTTATGATTTCCAATCAAAAAAAGAATATATTACAAGGAAAGGTTGTATAAATGAAATATTTAGATACAACAATTTACTTAATAAATTAAGATATATTTTAGAAATCTTTCATTTGTTGAAGTTTTATATGTCATAAAATTTAAGCGGATTCTTTTATCTATGGACCAAATATTATAATACAAATATACAAATTGGGAATCTATCGGAAAAAATGATGTTTCATATCTTTCCTTTTCATTTACTTTAACAAACACAAATAATCGATACACTCTTTGAGGGGAAATGTTCCGCCTTGCGTTGTCATTGTTACAGTTGATAGATGCTACGATATGAAAATAGTGTTCGCTTTCGTAAGGTCTTCTTATCTACGCTAAGCTTTTGAAATACATTGATTTTTGTCTGTAAATGCACTCTTTTACTTGTAGTTATTAAAAGCATATTTAAATTGCTCAAAGGAAGTATGGATGAATATTAAACACTTTTAGTGAGTTCTGTTGTATGTACTTCTGATAACGACTTCTTCATACAAAAGTGTTCATATATTATGCATATGAAAAGTATATTCTGCATTTTTCATGTTTTATATTTCATTCACGCATACGGGAGTTAATTAACTTCTTTTGAGCATTTAATGGTTATTCGAGAAATTCATCGTTAATTCTTCTCGTGGAAAATTTATGAGATCGAACTGTTTGGTTTTGTATTCGTTTGAATAGGTTCAAATTTGCGAAAGTATTATCAATGATTCAGGTCTTAATATGAAGATTCTTCAGACATTGATTTATTGTTTAAAAAATATGCTTTGTCATACATGTTAATTTGGAGTTATTTTTCAAATATTATTTAGTTTCAGAGAGTTTTTTTTAACTTTTTATTTGTTTTCTCTCAGGTTTTGCTATTTTTTTTTTTTATTTTTTTTTTTATTTTTTAATATCAACGTTATCATGAAAAATGCACATAAAGGAATATTGGGTGTTTTATTTATAAGAATATTTAATATCTACATGTATATATTTTATTTCATTCATAGCCTAAGTCTTGTAAATCTGCCACACAACAATTCCGCGGGTTTTAAGTTAAGATTTTCAAACATACAGTGTGTTTTATGCTTTTTCGAGAGTTAGAGGAAAAGGTTCCGGAAACGATTTTAATTTTCCTTTATATATTAAAAAATGTCATATTAGAAATATGATAGTGAAAGGTAGTTTGGAGGGCGTCACTAGAGAATGAGAAAGAGAAAGAGAAATGCATTCAACAATTTTATCAGCTAGATAAATAATGAAATACGCAGCACAGTTAAGGTTAAAGTAAGGAGGCGGGGCCTAATTTGTACGGGAAATGTTTACTATGACGTCACACATAATATAAGGACTTCAAAATACCACAAAATGAAATTATTTGCTATTTCAAACAGCTGGATAGCTGTATACTACATACAAACAGTATATACACGATGCATCGATCGCAATGCACTTGTCAATGTGACGTCATCTCGCAAAAATGATGCAGTTTGCACACAGTGGGAAGCTGATCAAGTCACATTTTGTACAATAAAAAATGTCTTTTGTTCTCAAATAAAATATTATTTGCAATTAAATAAAAGGCCGTTAACTTTGATGCGATGTCTATTTTAGTATTTTATTAATAAACTATCCGTACATTCTCCAGACAAGAGAAGTGATGCTGCCGTGTGTTTGTATGCAGAATCATTGAAAAAGTAATGGAAGGGCCCTAATAAATCGATTTATTGCAAGGGCATACCCTCAGTGTGTCTTGTTTAGTTTTTGCATATAAACTCAAGAAGCATTTAGATATTTGAAAAGTGCTGCGAACCTCATGTGAAATCTTGCAAATAAATTAATTTTAGCTATATTTGATGTAGTTGACCAGCAAAATATTTAATCTGCCGTCCAACAAATTAAATTTTAGCAATTAAAAAACTACATATAGTGTTGAAAAGGATTATAAATTAAACTAAGATTTTTATCTTAGTTATGCCCTTGCAATATTGGAATTTATAGATGACCTCTAAACTGCAAGTATAATTGCTAAAATCATTTGACGTCGACATCACGTGAGAAGTCTAAATAAAAAATCTAAATGTCCCCAACATGTAGATTTAAACCACATTACATTTTTTTTATATCAGTGAAGTCCTAAAAAGAATCGCCCATCCTAATAAAGTATGTATTTTTTATCTTAAAAAATTCCCGATATTTCCATTCGTAACCTTAACTGTGCTGCGTAGCATTACAATATGCCTATTAATTAGACCCTTACTATATTCACATTTGTCATTTCCTGATATATTTTTTTATCAGAAATAACATGGGGCATGATAAATGAAGTTTTTTGTTTTCGATATTGACCTTGCTTTGTATAATATTGCACAAACTGAAAGGTTTGATTCATGATTTAGATATTAAATATCACTATCATAATGCTACTTGTATTCATTTAACGTACTAAAGTATTTTATTTAGAAGAGATAAATCTTCACAAGTATTGAATGATTAGATTTATACGACAATGTCATACTCATGTTGAAATTCTCTCTCTATACAATTTCACAATAGTATCCTCTTTCTACACAAAAATTGTTTAGAAACGTGGAGTGATTTATTCATTTTTTTCTAAGTTGGATTGTACGAATAAAAAATGATTAAAAATGAGTAACATTTGAATTATACTATTACGCTGTAACTTAGTTCACTTTTGAATAAATATTTCGAATACCTGTTGACAAATATAGGACATAATATGCTGTTTACACCAGTAATAATTGACAACTTTTTAAGAAAATATGGGAAAATGCACATGTTTATGATGTCACAATTAGCATTTAAAAACACACATGAGAAAATGATTTGCATGATTTTTCTGCATTGAATGTCAATTATTCAGAAGGCATGAGTTTTTAACTTTTACACAAATTTTTTAGCAAATCACAGGGCACAATTTGTGTGGAAACTTTAGAAAATTTGATTTGTAAATATATACAGTATTATTCACACAGAAACGTAGGATTACATAGATAGAATTGTGTTTAATGTCTGTCTTTTTAAAAATTATTACGATAAAAATTGATTGGGAAAGTCAAAGAAAGAATAAGGAATAACTGAGAGAGGGAAAAACAAGGAAGCGATATAAGCATTAATTTTCATTTTCCATACATAAATGAAATCATTTATTTATTTGCAGGTTTAGTTTCACTTTCACACACCGCGGTCAATCGAATCCAGCTTTACTTATAAATGCGCGTGCTACCGAGTATATAGATAACATAATCTGATCATGGCTTAAAATTTTTCATTGGAAAACAAATCATATTTTTGTGTTAGAAATTTATTCAACTTATATCGTACTCGAGAACAGAAGTTCTGGTCTCTTTGGACATCGTTTTTTTCTCTCTCTCTTAAAATTGAAGTGTCGAAGGATGACAATAAGTTACACAGATAAAAGATGCTAAACTTTTGAAAACATGCAACAGGATGTTAAAAGACAAACACTTTCTTGTTTGAAAATCATGTATTTAAGCAATTTTTTAGTCCAGACAATGCTATTTCTTAAGAATTATGCTGCATAAGACATGATCGACTATATAAATATTAGTAATGAATGTAGCGACTGGGTCTTACTGACGTTATAAGCAAAGGAGATAAGCCGCGCTAAATGAAGTTTATCTCCGCATCAAGTAGCTTTGATCGACTCTGCTGCCTCCAACTTGCATAAAAAATCCAAAATGTAAATTCAGGCTTATTAATGTTGCTCAGATGAACTCATTTCCGTATACAACCCAAAATGCTCAGGACATTGTTTCGTATAACTTTAATGAATTTTAAATATTAAATATTATTGGTAAACATTCCTGAATAGATACGAGATAACATTTGTAATGTCTTGATGCCAAATTTATGATTAAAGGAAGAAAATCTTACCTTTTGAAATACTTTCACTACCATAGCTTGTGAATTTCGCCGGTGGTAGATCACACAAACCCCATACCTTTATCCTAATAAAACCTACCGAATAAATTCCTTCAAATGGCCCAGCGAACGCAGATCCACCTAATAAGTTAAGATTCGATGAATTACTTAGAAAGGTTATGATTTTATAATATAATCATACTGTCAATATCCTTCATAAAAACACATTTACATGTACTTTTATATGTACTATAACTTTGAATTCACGAAACTACAAATTCATCTTGTTAAAATATAATTGTATGTACACTTTTTTTTTTGTTATGAAATCTAATTTTGTGTAATAAATGTCTAATAGAAAGTTTATGATTTTATAATATAATCATACTGTCAATATCCTTCATAAAACACATTTACATGTACTACTATATGTACTATAACTTTGAATTCACGAAACTACACATTCATCTTGTTTAGCTCACACTTTTTTCATTTTAAAAAACAAAGCAGGAAAATATCTTTCAATAAATTTTTACCTGTGAATATAAGTACTCCTTTATTTGAGTCATTATTCCTTACAGGGACAAATATTTTTACATGATTTTCATTGTAAATATAAATAACACCACCGTAGATATTGTCACTGTCATCGTCTCTTTGTGCTGATCCGAATGCAGGGAAAATGACGTCATATCCGTTTTCTTGAATTTTTACCTGCACCTCAACTTTTGCGGGTATTTGTTCTAATGGATGTTGAATGAGAACTGGACTAGATTTTTGTGATTCAACTTGAATCCAGTCGCTGATGTATACAGAATATACGCAACACTCTAATGCTAAATAAAAAATAATGATGATAGTATCAAAAAAGAGGCCCATGGGCCACATTGCTCACCTGAGCACTATAGCTTGAAAAAAGCAGAAATCAATACAGAAAAGTTTAAACCCAAAAGTGGTCCCAACCAATCCTTAATGGGAAGAGGGTATGATTTGAACAAACTTGAATCTACGCTAACTAAGGATGCTTGCATATTTATTTGACTACCTGTGGCTTCTTTATTGCCTTTTACATTTAACTTAGTTTGTGGCCCCGTCCTACCCCCAGGGGTCATGAATTGAACAAACTTGAATCTACATTACCTGAGAATGCTTCCATATAAATATGACTAATCACGGCTTTGCTATTTTTGAAAAGTAGATTTTTTAAAGAATTTTTCTACATATTTCTATATAAAACTTGGATTCCATGTTGTGGTCCCGTCTTTCCCCCGAGGGCCATGACTTGAACAAGATTGAATCTATACTACCTAAGGATATTTCCATATAAATATGATAAATCATGGTTTTGCTATTCTTGAGAAAAAGGTTTTTAAAGAACATTTCTTTGTAAAACTTTGATCAGTCATTGCGGCCCCACCCTACTCCCGGGGTCCTGATTTGAACAAAATTGAATCTACACTACCTGAGAATGCTTTCCTAAAATCCCTATAAATATGATCATTCATGCCTTTGCTAATCTTGAGAAGATTTTTAAAGAATTTTCCTATATGTCTCTAAGTAAAACTTTGATCGGCCATTGTGGCCCCGTCCTACCTACACTACCTGAGGATGCTTCCATATAAATATAATCAACCATGCCTTTGCTTTTTTTGAGAAGAAGATTTTTAAATAATTTCCCTCTATATTTCTATTTAAAACTTTGATCGACCATTGTGGGCCCGCCATACTCCCGGGGGTCATGATTTGAACAAACCTGAAACTACACTACCTGAGGATGCCTCCCTATAAGTTTCATCCTTCCTGGCACAGTGGTTCTTGAGAAGATTTTTAATACATACCTCTAAATATTCACTAATTCTGAATTATTTCCCATTGAATATGGGCCCGGCCCTTCATTTGAACAAACTTAAATCCCCTTCTTTCTCCCAAGCATACTTTGTGTAAAGTTCGGTTGAAATTGGCCCAGTGGTTCTTGAGAAGATAAAAATGGAAAAAGTTTACAACGACAACAACCACGACAACGACGACAGACAATGGACAAATTTTGATCAGAAAAGCTCACTTATGCCTACGGCTCAGGTGAGCTAAAAATGGAGAAGTAAGTAAAATGTTATATATTTTACATTTGCAGAATATCCAAAAGTCCTTTTTAAATTTCAGTAACTTTCTAATGTAAAGAAGTATGACTTGTATAGTCCAAAAATATCACAGAGAGGAAAAAAGCAGCATTGTTTCCAGTTTACATTTACAAAACAGCTCAATCATTAAATATTATTATTCATAAATTGATTATTTAGCCCTTAATATTTTTGCATATTTGTCTACAAATTGAACGTACAATAGTCATGAATTCTAATATTTTCAGTCATTTGCTTAGTTAAAGAAGTATTTTGTTCATAATATACAAACAAGTATACAATGAAAATGGATTGACCAGCAGGCCAAGGGCCTATAATATTTCACTTCATACAAAAAACTGCCCCGCTATCTTTCAGTAAATTCTGTCCTTTTTTAATAAAATAGATAATGAGACGCTACCTCAATTGGTGTGATCAAAGTACTAATTTTATTGTAAAACATTGATATTTTCAATCTATTTCTTCACATCTTACACGTAATACGTAATATACATGTAAATAGTTTCACAAATATTTCATTGATAAATGTATGCTCACAAATATTTTATATTTATTGCAAACAAAGAGATCCAATCAAAAACACAGTATCTCTTCCATTTCATTTTGTGGATGAAACAGCGTTTAATGAAAAAACTGTCCAGCTATCTTATGTTTCATTGAATTGTGTTTTTAATATATAATAAGTAATGAGTCGTTGCTTTCTCTTATTTGAAAAAAATGTCTGTGAAGTGAAACTCGGTTATAGTTTTTAAATTCATATTTTTTATATTCTTCTATAAAGTAGAAGACAGAAAAATTGGAAATAATATGCAGGTAGCTTGTCTTACAGCAGAGATTTTTATTATTCTTAAAGTAATTTTCCTTTTATTGACAGAGATACAACTTAACACTTCTATTGAAAACCAATGTGAATAGCTGATACCACCTGCCAATTAGCTAGCACTTTGAAAAGTTTAATTTTTTTTAATGCATTTAGTGATTTGAAAATTTTAATCATAAAAACAAGATAACAATAAAAAGGATTAACTTACTGGTTAGCAAAAAGAATAATCCTCCTGTCATTTCGTTAATTTAATTTCATATAGTTACTTCTTCAAAAACATCCTTTAATGTCCTGCAATATACAAATGCAGAATATGATCATGACACCGAGGCGGGAAAAAAAATCTATGTCATATGATCCGGATTAAATTTTCATTGTATCTTGGATATTGATTAACTATACATGAAAGGTATATAGACATTGACAGGTGTGAAATTCTAATTATCACACTTGAAGTAGATATTATCTTTTTTTTAATTATAAATGAGTTGATATACATTTTAATCTAAGGAATTATATCAATCATTCCTTCAATTTTTGTCAACGCAAGAGGGGGTTTAGTTTAGCATTCATTAGATTTCCCTATTAAATTTGATGCACGAGACCAAAACAAAACTGTCCGTCTGTTACGTTTTGGGGTATCTATCTCTTATCTGCGATTCCTCTTATATCAATGAGTGATGTTTTATTTAGGATTTCTCCATAGTTCTGGTACTTAATGCCATATTGTGCACATCCTACTTGACATTGTGGATTCCAATGGCAAAACTACCATTAATTGTATAACATGGAAGGGTACCCATCCCTTATCCGCAGCTCTTCTATACCACAGAATAAAATTTTAAGATATTTTTTCACAGATTTTTCATAACATATAGCCATTGTGCACTTTCCTTTTTGATTTTTGATCTGACACTTATTTCGGGTCTCTCAGAGGAAAACATGAAATTTGTCATTATACATGCAATCATATGGGAGGCAAGGTACCATTTACTGAGCTCTTTGCTCAAACTTTAATTACCCTATATATACCTTTACAAAGAAACGAGTATACAACTAACAGAATTATCAAACTTTCCATTCTTGACACCCAGATGCAGGTCACATATTGAATGAAAAGGATGACGATAACGGAAAAATATCTATTGCAAATAATCTGCCAATACTAAATATACAAATCCATATTAAATGAAAAGAGTGACGCGCGATAGCAGAAGGTCTATTGCAAATAATGTACCAAAGATACAAATACATGAACAGGGCATAAACACGGTCCCATAGAAAAAAAAAACTTTTAACTTTTTAACCACTTTTAACTCTCTCTTGAATGATATTTTATATGTTTCTAAACACAATTTTGTCAGCACCTTTCTAAGTTTATCAGCACCGGCCGTAAAAATGTCAGTCATTGTCTAAGTTTCTCAGTAAAAATGGGAATGTCTCTACGATTCTGACTCAGTAGTGTATAGTTTCAGCTCTTGATGTAAATCAATGTTTGGAAGTTGAAATATTCCTTTGAAATTTAGAGCAGGTCACTTGTCCTTAATAATATTTTTTTTTAATTTTGCTATTTTGTAACTCTTACAAATATATTTCATGTACTTTATTTTTCTCTTCTCAAAATAAAAAATTCTATGTAGCTGTTGGGTGCCTACAGATTTGATACCTAGAATGCAACACATACTGAACATATTTAAATGTCGATAATGCCAGCAAAAGAAAGATTTTGACAGAAATCATGATCTTTTCCAACAAAATCATTAAGGGACTCCGATCCTCAGCCAGGAAGGACAACTCTTTAATTAATAATTTAATTTAAAAAGTATCAGAATGAACCTTGAAAATTAAATCTTTTCATGCAACAATTTTCATTATATACCTCTTCATGTGCTCCAATGTTTTTCGAAGTTCTCAGAAAGGTCTAATTAAAAGTCGAAATTTTTACCTCTTAAAAGCATTTTACATATATCAAGAAAATGGTGTTTATTTTAATCTAACCATAGATACTAATGTTTATTATTATGATATGAAGTTAAAAGTTATTTATGGAGCTTTGCAATGACAGGAGAATCTTTATACCTTTGCATTGTAAAATGATCGAAGTAAATAAAAGAAATTAAAGTTCATTATATGTATGAAAAGTGTGGAATTTCTTCAAAAGCCTGGATACCTATGATTTTTCTTATGTATTAAAGGTACTTGGACACAGATTTGAAGTTAATTTTTTCTGTATAATATCACGAATTATATATCTAAATAGCATTTCACACAAAAATTAATTAAAAATCTTTTTTCATTTAAAAGTTATTAAAACTTTTAATTTTTTGGCGAGTTTGATTGACACATCCTTTCACTACCACAAATTTTAACTTTATTCTTAATCCTTAGGAAAACTGGCAGTCTTGTTGTGTATTAATGAAAAATATTAATACTATAATCCAGAAAATTCAGAGTGGACATGTTCGAAAGTAAAACAAACACACAATATATTGTCAGTCTGTGCAGTTGTAGTGAGCAGACTTTGGCGATTAAACGCACCCGGTGAACCAAAACACCAAACAATAACAGAGCTTTCGCCCTGTTTACAAAAACTGTGTACATAACACGAGTGTGCTCGATTTGCTAAACTCTGTACACAACGGAATGACGATACTTGTGAAGGAGTTTTGCTTTCTAACATTTCTACTCTGAATAAAATTATTTTTCTGGATTTAAATTTTAATATTTCTCATTAATACACAACAAGATTGCCAGTTTTCCTAAGGATTAAGAATAAAGTTAAAATTTGTGGCAGTGAAAGGATGTGTCAATCAAACTCGCCAAAAAATTAAAAGTTTTAATAACTTTGAAATGAAAAAAGATTTTTAATTAATTTTTGTGTGAAATGCTATTAAAATATATAATTCGTGATATTATACAGAAAAAATTAACTTCAAATCTGTGTCCAAGTACCTTTAATTGTTCAAGTTTGAATTGGAAAATTCATAGCAGGTGTTTTTATTTGCAATTCCAGAAAATGTATTTGAGATTTACCAATTTTCTCTATATGATATCATTAACTTGAAAGATAAAGTTTGAAGAACTATTATGGATAAAAACACGTTACTTTCCAAATTCAGAGGCTTTTTTGTAAGCATTTTCAATTAGTTACTGCTTGGTTTTCAGAACCTGAGGATCGGAGTACCTTAAATCTCTAATAGACGTCTGAATTTATTAGTCGAGTCGGATTCTAATGTGTCATGCTCATGCATTGTGTACATAGAGAAGTATATACATGTATACTTACCCTTTTCAATATCACATCCTGTTTCAGTCCGAGACAACAAAAATCAGGCAAAGGGCTGATATCCGTCGGGGGCTGGTGCAGGGTGTGATGTGGGAAAGGGTATACTTTATTATGATTATTCCATACTTTGTTATAAAATACAGAATACATCAAGTTGCAAAACATATAAATAATCATGCACGGACTTCTGACATTAACATTGCTTATCGTCTCACATAATTTTTTGTAGGTATGTTTCTACTTCTATTTCGATTTGATGTGCATTTTGCATTGTTTGAAACAATCTTATATCAATTAAATGCTACAATCAAAATGAAGAAAATGTGTACCCCAATAACATGTGCATTATATAAAGTACTTTTTTTTAGCTTTAACTGCTAGGGATGTGATATTGATCCGTCACATCCACGCAGGCATATCACACATACAACAAGCTAATTCAGAAAATTTGTGTCCCCCGCTTAGGGAAAAAGTAAACCATGCGCAGTTGGGGGAGGGAGGGGGGGTGACGGATGCCCTTAACTGAATGTGTAGAATTATTAAATGTACCTGTATACAGGTATACTGAAGCAAATAAAATATGCCAATATGGATATAAAGAATTGATTGCTTATTCTTTATTATGTGTACAGAAGATTCTTTTAAGATGGAATATTTATCACTCTGTAATGACGATTTTATGAGTTTGTACAAGCCAGACCTCATAAATTTTTCATTTCACATGCTGAATTCTATCATTTAGAAAAAAAATATTTTGGAAAAAAAAAGAAAATGGATCGTCCGAGATTCGAACCCGTGACCTCTAACTTGTGAAGTGAAAGACATACCACTACACCACGGAACCGCTTTAAACTGGCAAAAATTATATGCAAAGCTGAAGTCACATACATATATATATTCACGTTCGATATTGTTAAAATTTTACAAAATGCATGATGTCTAATTTAACCTTTATTAAACAGTTCTAATAGATGTAATAAGAATATAAAGTCCGCCGAGAATCTGTTTCTATACGTAATAACTCTCTTCATGCCCCTGTGCTAAAAATAGCGACATGTAATAAAATAAATACTTATAAAACAAACGGGGCGGGACACTTTGAGGGGGTGAGAGAAGTCCTAGGGAGTTTTGGTATAAAATTACATTTCAAAAGCTCAAAATCTTCTTGAAATATCGCCCGGAAAGGATAGTGTTACACACAGAGAGAATGTATAAATTTATGATCTTGAACTTTGACCTTTTGACCTCAAAATCAATAGGGGTCTTCCTTAGGCCACAGGAAGTTGTTATGTAAAATTTCATTGCAAAAGCTCAAAGGGTTCTCGAGATATCGCGCGGAAACGAAAGTGTTATAACAGACAGAATTTGCAAATTTATGACCTTGACCTTTGACCTTTTGACCTCAAAATCAATAGGGTTCTTCTTTTGTCCATAGGCAGTTGCTATGCAAAATTTCATTGCGAAAGCTCAAAGGGTTCTCGATATATCGTGTGGAAACGAAAGCGTTACAGACAGACAGAAAGACGGACGGACGGATGGAAAGACGGACGGACAGACAGACCCAAATTAACATTCCCCACTTTTCAAGCGGGGGGCAAATTCCTGTATAGATTACTTATATGTGAAACATGCACATCGAGAAGTTAATTGTCAATGAGTCAAACCCTTTTATAAGATGTGAATATAAACTTCCCTTTTGAAAAATTCGACGATGTGAAACTAGTATTTTTGACAGGCATTACAAAGACGGGGAAAACAGTGCCATTTTGCAAATATTTCATTACTTCTTCAGCGGTTTTACCATAAGATATAACATTTTAGAATCAGGTATCAGATAATTGATTCGTAAAAGGTATATTTAATATTGAAGATTACAATCTTTATTTGTTTTAAGTTGTGCAGCGAAAACAACTTCACATCACCACCGTACAAAAGAAAAGACACACAATATGCATATCATTTTAATGACGTAATAGTACATATTGAAACAATATATCAAAACATGCTCTATTTTTTCAGTTTTAAGGGATTGTGTTTTCTTCTTTCCATAGAGTGAAATCAATGTCTGCACCAATAGTTGAGCAATCCACCAAAGGGGCTCTGAAAGATGATATTTCACATATCAATTTGAACTGATTATTGAATTACATTAACTTAATTTAACAATTACTTTTGTTAGCATTCATTTACCTAAAAAGTAAATAAAAATCAAAATTTAAAAAAATCAGAAAAGAAAAAGAGAAAAGAAGTTCGTTTGGCTTTCATTTATAAATAAAATCTTAAAGCTTTATTAAAAAATTCATAAATATCATGAACGTAATGAAGTTCCTTCGATTCTACAAGTAAAAGATGATTTTGCATAAATTTTAAAGGTTAATGTAATAAGAATTTTAAAATATATTAACAAAAGTATGTTAAAAATTAAATTTAGAAAATTTTTATCTAGCAATTCTCATAAGCTGTCAATTAAGATTTCTACATTCTTCCCAATCAAACACTTAATCAAATTCATCTTAATAAGGTAATTATTTAGATAAATTATTAAAATGTAATTTCACTCTTAAACAGAATACTTACCCATGTTGAAAAACTTCTTTTTGAACTTTTCCTATGTTTGAATTTCTGCAGATGACTTGAGCAAGTGTAACATTTTTTATCTGATTAAGTTGCTCCATTGTAAACTTCGTATATTCTTCGTTATTTTCATAAAAGAAGCGGTCACCGAACTTTAGAGCTTTGAACTGAAGTCCAATAATGCAAGCAAATGTTGGTCCCACAAGAGCTCCAGGAAGCGGCTCCTCTGTCACCCCTCCGGTAAATAGGTCAATGTCCTCTACATGTCTGCAGAATATTAAATAAAGATAAATACTTAGACTAGTAAATCAAACAAAATGTGTGTAGTATATGCTTAGTGAAGTATAGTGGATACCCTTAACATAATAGTTGGTCTCTAATATACTTACATGCATGTCATAGAAATTAATTTTTACAGGCAGTAATTAAGGGGCAAAGATTTCGTGAAAATTAATGACATGAATTCGTGAAACAACGACCGGTGACAAAATGTAACTTACATTACTTTTGGTTCATCAATAATTGTCTCAATATTGATACTACTTATAATAATTACACAGACATGCATGTTTTACATTCCATACATCATTGCAGTTTTGTATATATGCCATATAGACTAAAATGTTGGAGTATTCAATTTGAAGGGAAGGGGTTAATGAGATATTTTTCCTCTGAAAAAAAGCTTTTAATTTTTTCTTTTGTAAAATTCGAAGCTTTTGTGAAATATGCAAGAATATACATATAAGAATAAAAATACATTCTTACATACAATTATATAACTCTTTTTAACTGCATTTGCTTCTCATATGCTTTTCTTTTTCATAATGATAGCTCTTATTTCAGAACATTTAGAAAACCTATTTCCTGTATCTCATATGAAATAATTTATAAATTTAAAATTCCAATACTTAATTGTACATGTATGTATCTTATTTTCATCTATGTTCTTTTTTAACATCTAAGGAATGCAAAAGAGCTCGAGAATGGTATTTTCATCTTTTGGTTAAATAAATCTTATAAATAATTCCCCTAAAGGGACTTTGAAACTCTCCGCCAAGGAGGAGTACGTAACATTGATTTATCTGTCTGAAAAACTGTACTTACTTATTTAAGTCAAAATCAATTTTAATTAGAGGCTTCTCTGGACAGTAATTTAAATCAAGGGATTTTTTTTAAATTTTTATTCCTTTTTAATGATATTCAAGATATATTCTGATTGTCGAAAGGTGAAATGATTTTTACACTTTGATTTTTTTTTTCTTTTAAGAGAATAAACATTTAATTTGTTTATTTGGACAACACAAGAAGGAAGAATTTTGTCATACTCATAGACACTCTTTAGACGATAAATCACTTCTTTCGTGTGATCAGTGAGGCCACAGAAACTATCTGATGTGGGTAGCTTGCACATTCTCCTGTACTCCATGTAACCAGGCACGCCGTGATCACGCCCTCTGTTGATATTGGTTGAGATGAGGTCATTTCCGGATCCTGGATGACCATGCTCTTCAAACAAATGATTGCTTACTTCTTCGGTTTTGAATCTATATCGTAATTACAAATAAAAGTTTAAAATCTTTAATGCACTTAAAATTTTTTTAATGTGTAGAGAAAGTTAAAAAGAAAGAGAGAGAGAAATTCTATTCATATTTATTAGACAAACCTGTCAACACTCTGTGAATGCTCATCATACAATCCTCTTACTATACTTTCAAACCCCTCCATTTCATAAATATCGTCTGGATTAAAAAGCGAATTTCTCAGAAGAACCCTTCTATTACTTCCATCCAATTTTCTGAACCCGAAATTGTCGTTTATCATGCTATGTCCAAATCTGAAAGCAGCCACCATAAAGCTCGATCTTAACATCAACATCACTTTTGGGTCATAGCCTTTGAAGTACTTTCCAGATGGTTGAGGACCGAGATCAAAGCGATCCATAATTGCAGTGCCAAGGACCGTGGGTAAGTATTCATTGTAAGTGATGTGCTGAAACTGGGCAATAACAATTCGTCTTGCCTCTTGAAAAAGTCTTTCATCATCCCAGTTGGTTAAGCCTTCCAGTATTCTGGCTATTCGGTTATGTTCCCTAAGCCATAAAGTATGCTGCATGATCAAAGGAGCGTTTTGGTTAACACGGCCATCACCTTCAGATCAAATGTTAAATACAAATACAATGCTATATTTAATCATAACATGTTATTATGAACATCAATATATTCATAAGAAATAGTTTCAAATTTTAATTTCATGAATTATAGAAATTGAACAACAAAGTCATACAAAATTATCAATATATGTACATATATTTTTGAATCAAAAAGAGAATTTAAAGCTGAACAGGATTCGTATATGGAATGTGTCCGCCATTTTTGCTCCCGATTCTCGCTACTCTGCAGACCCCTATAAATATAGCAGGACTTGGTCACTGTTCAGTGTAATCAGTCGACACCGGTGTAGACGGACGTATGCTATGCAGCACTCGGTAGGAGAATAGTAACGTAATACTTCGTCCAATGCAGGAAAGTAAGATACCAAATGCATTTATGAATATAGTTGTACAGGTCAGTGCAGAATACAAACAACAAAGATAAACGTTACTGCAATAAAATGCAAACAAAGGTGATACAAAATAACCAGCACGAACACGGGTCGCCATTCCACGCCGATACCCGTGACAATAAAGCAGTCAGGTCTAACGAATGCAACGAGTACCCCCTAGTGTTGATGTATCGTAGATAATGATATCGAAAATGGCGTATGCCTATTTACGAGTCATAGGCATCAGAACCGGGGAGGGGGGCTTAGCCCCCACTTTTTTCTAAATATATACTTAGTATAGACATTGAACATTGCTTCGTAGGTCAAGCCCTCCCCCCTCCACTTTGCACAGACACTTCACAGTATATATTAAAAATGGGGAAATTGGTGGTGTTTGGAAAAAAAATTGGTACTCTAGTTCGAACTTAACCCCTCCCCCCCCCCTTACGAAATAGGACTTTTTTGTTTGGAAATGGACATTTCCTTTCTTTTGTCAGTTTTTTTCCAGGTAAAAATATTTTTTATTTATACACTTAGCGCCCCCCCCCCCCACTTTCAATTCGCTTTTGATGCCAATGCGAGTCGTGTTCAGCTTTAAACATATATACGCTTAAGACTAGTCTAGGATAAATCAAATGTAAATGTAACTATACGTTACATCAAAACACTATGCCAAGTAAACCTGTTCAGGCAGTTAAGACCGAAAATATATTTTACATATAACAGACTAAATACAGAAGGACTCAATTCCCCTTCCCTTTACACCCAGTCCCCTCCTCTATAATCCCCTAGTATCATCTCCTAACTATATTCATTTATTTATTATTCCATTTATATTTTTATCAGTGTTATAAATTTATTAAAAATTGCATGTATTACCAGAATGGAAACACTGAAATTTCTTAGGTTCACAGTCTTCTGCATCCTCTTGATTTGCAGAAGGCATCAGTTCCAGGTTATCGACAGGATGATTTTGTACTCTTAATAACCCTGCAACAAACCCGTATTTTACATCCAACTTTTAAATTTGACACCTAATTTACAATTAACATTCACACTTTTAAACATTTAACATTTGCCATTCGCATGCATTTAACAAAATTGCAATGTATGCTGGATAGAGTGAATAATAGATATTAAAGGTAGTTGTGTTTGAATTATTTAATTTAATTTAATTATCAAAAAATATCCCCTTTGTAACCTGAAAGAGTTGAAAAAGCAAATAGCTAAAAGTAATACCAGAAACGTTTGCTCTCAGATCTGGATATTCTTGAGGACTGGAGCCGTAGGTGGAAGAGACGTCAATGGGCATTGTGTATTCTATGACCTGATGCCGAGTTTCTAATTTGACAAAAAAGAGGTTTAAAAATTATTATATGGATATAATTTCTTAATGGTAATACTTATTATTTATTATTATTTAAATATGCAATAATTTAATTATTTTTGATATGTATTTGGTTGGAAGATAAACAAACCTGTTAAATTACAATTTACCATCGAATATATTTATATATATACTTCATGAAAACGAGGATTTCCATTTCATATCTCTGGTATTTATTTATTTTCTTTATTAATTCGAATGCAACACACTAAACAGTATAAAAAGAGTATGCATATTTAGGAAAATCACCAAAGAACTGAATGTTATTTGGTTGAACATTACTCCTAATAGTCAGATTACAACAATTTTATCAAAATTCACAGGATATTTACCCAAATTACAATGCAGGTCTGGACTTGGCTGAGACCTAGCAAAGTTTAGGCAAGTTACTCCAAACTGTCCAAAAAAGGGATCATTACGACGGACTTTGATTGGCATGATACAGTTGGGGTCATTTTTGTGTTTTCCACAGCACTCCAGATCGTCGCCATCGGGAGCTGCAAATGGATAACGTCGACATAGAGTAAAACAAAAGGTGTTTTCCGGAGTATAATATACTCGTAATAATGATTTGTTAAATGTACATATTTTTTTTATTTTGAATATTACTTGTTGTAAAAGGAATATCAATTAATATTGTATAAAAAAAATGTTTTTAAAACATTGTATATCTTGATAATAGGAAAACTTTGTAAAAATAAAAAAACAAGGAAAAACAAGGCTCATAAAACTATTTGCTCACATAACCATTTTGGATAAGGAAAAGCTAAAATCAGTTCAGTACTGAAAAGTATAAAATTGATCTAAAATTAGTCCTTGGGATTTGTGGGATGATTCGGAAAAAAAACCTCACGTACACTGAAGATGCTTCCATATTTTTTTAACTTATGGAATCAAAGTATCAAAGAAGAAATTACAGAACACCAAAAGAGCATGTTCATTTTATTTAAAGAATTTTTATAACGTATTAGCATTTCAAAACATTATTTCAGTAACAAATATATAAATGAATTTCTTACATGAAAATTCATACGTTTATATTATATTGAATACAGATAAATACGTAAAATGATTTAATATCATGCTAAACCATGGTGATAAAAATTCTGTTAAACGTGTAATATATTATAATTATTTCAAAACTAGCAATATAAATTGTAAGACACTAACAGTGAGTTTTCGATCCAAATACCACGGTCCGATTTTGTCAGAATCAAAATTAATCTGGTACTACGGCTGAATGTAAACAAACAGGCCAGTCGGGTTCCCTCTCATGTTTTTCCTCGTTAGTGTAGAGAACTACGATAACACTGATTATCAGAAATCCTTACGCTAATAAACTATGTTCTTTGACTTAAGAATGAAGTTTTCAAAGTTATTTAGATAAAACTTCGTTTGATTTATGTTGCTTTATTTAGCGTTTGTATTATTGTTCAGAAGTTCGTTTGCGGTTGAGAGTAAGAACTCACGTTTTCAAAACATCTCAACGTTGGGCTCAATATTTTTACACGTAACTTTAAAATGGCGACTATGGGGTTGACATCCTGTCTTGAACAGGGTGACATAAGCCGGCAATTGCTCTTTGAGCAATAAGCCCGGCTAAAAATAGATGTATTAAAAAAATCCATTGATGTTGAACTTTTATCGTCTGCTTGTGCGAGGATATGACCTCCGCACCCACCTACATCCTTGAAGATCTTTTTCTTTATACAGTTTTTTAACAGAATAAAATTTGTAAAAATATGCAACTAGAACCAGTAACTGAATTAATGCTCTTTTAATAAATATGTCTTATCATGGTTTTGCAAATTCTTTACAGGTTGCAAATATATGTTTTAAAAAGGCAATAACTGTTTTTCAGATTTGATGAAATTCTTTGTAAAGATTATAAAGTTTATTCACCCAAAATGCATGTCTTGCACTATATAGTGGTCATTCAATCGAACAAATATGACTCTACACTACCTAATATGCGCCCATGTTATAAAACACTAATGACCTTTTTTGTTTTTGAGATTTTTCAAACGTATGAATATGAAAAGCTTTGATTCTAATTGATACCCTACTATACTCTGGGATCATTAATTGAACAAACTTAAATCTACATCATATAAGATACTTCTATATAACTATACCATATCTTTGCTTTTAGGGTTCTCGAGATGAACATTTTAAAATATGTTGTTTTTTTCATTTGTTTTGTATTTCGTATGATATATGCCCTTTGATACTCCACCCTACTCCCTCTGCTATCTTTTGAACAAAGTTGATCATCCACTACCTACCTCTAAAAGGGGATTCTTTTATATATACATGTAGTTTTCATATTTTCTAGCCTAGAAGTTGTAAAAAAGATTTTGTCTTTGATAAATGTCATTCAATGTTCAAAAAAAAATTGTTACAAGCCCCACCCAACCCCAACCCTTGGAGAAATGCATGTATTTTTCATCTGAGCATTAAGTTGTTAAAATCACCCCAGTAGTTCTTGAGAAGTCAAAAATATACAAAGTACACATAAAGACTGACAGACGGACGGACAAAATATGATCATAAAAGCTCATTTGAATCTTTGGTTCCGTTCCCCAAAAGGAATAGAAGAATATTTTAATTCTTTTTTAATCAAAGGATTTCATTTGTTAAAAAAAAAATACGTTTTTTAAATAAAGAGTTTCCCCTGCAAACAACAATAAAACAGAAATTAGTATACTTGCCCTCCGCTTTAATGTTTTCTAACATGTCGTGACTGAGAAACTGTCCAAACGACATCCCAAAGTGATTAATATTTTCTAGACGATGCCTAGGAAAACTCTTTTCATGGATCTTAAGTCTTATTTCCCTTGGAGTCGGCAATGGATTTCCAGATTTAGCCCTACTTCGAGGCGCACCTCTACCTATTAAGTTTATAAAAATAATTATGAAGCTGATTTGATAATATTAAAAAATTGAAAAAAAAAAACGTGCTACTGAATATAGTTTATTTTTTTTTAATAGCAATTCAGTCAGTTACCTTTAAACAACTGTTCTATTTTATACTTACCGTCTTCATATGCAGATGGCAAAAATCGAATTAAAGGGGTTTCAGATTTTCCCCAAATTGGGTTTTCCAAATTATTGCAGGTGCCATCAATGGTTCTGAATTTAGATGTTGCATTGCATTCGATGGGATCCAGGAACTCGCATCTGAATTCCGGATCGTCCACGCTCTTAATGCTGGTGCGCCGTATTCTTTTACTTCTGAAGCATAAGAACAAACTCTGTCTAAATTGACAATGAGCAAACTTAAATAGAATTTTTTTATCAGGCATTCAATGAAAGTTCAATGATATTTACATACGAAATTGAAAACATTGTATGTACAATACCTTACGGAAATGTTGTAAAAGCCATTATCACTGAACGTATTTTAAAGATTAATTATCTTTCTTTTGCAATATTTCTTTTACAAAATCAAATTTAAAAAAAAAAAAAAAGATATACTAAAAAAAATTAAACTGGATGCTCTTGCAATACAGGATTTTTCATATGCATAATACTATTGTTTCCCCAGATCTTACTGAATCTCTTACATTACTTTCTTCATCAATAATAAACCTATAAAGCACATCAAAATGCCTAGAGAAGTTCAAAACAAACAACCAACCCTGCAAACTCTGAGGCAGATCTTTTCCATCTTAAAGGAGTGTTGTACATAAGGTCATGATAGTTGAAATTTCCTTTGGCTGCCTTGGTCAACAGTCGGTGTTGATCTGGGTTAGGTAAAACTCGCTTGTTTCCTTCCTCCAAGCCACAGGAATCCATCCCTTTTGATAATTTCAATTTTATTTGAGCACTGAAAAATAAAATATAATGTAAAATAAGTAAAACGAAGAAATAATAATTTAAGGTTTAAAATTAGTACATGAATTTCCATTTCTGATATTTAGGCTTTCAAAGATCAAATGTCTTTTGAATTTGAAAACAAGAGGCCCATGGGCTACATCGCTCACCTGAGAAGCTTTGACCATGCTATTCTTAATCCATCGTACCCCACGGGTCATAATTTGAACAATTTAAAATCAACACTTTCCCTGGATGCTTCCACATAAATTTAAGCTTTTCCGACCTAGTAGTTCTTGAGAAGAAGAATTTCAAAGTATTTTTTCCATATATTTCCATGTAAAACGTTGATTCCCTATTGTGGCCCCGCAATACCCCCGAGGGTCATGATTTGATCAATTTAGAATCTACACTACCCCCAAGGGTGCTTCCACATAAGTTTCAGCTTTTCTGGCAAAGTAGTTCTTGAGAAGAAGAATTTCAAATTTTTTCCCTATATATTTCTTTGTAAAAATTTGACTCCCTATTGTGACCCCAACAAACCCCCAGGGGTCATGATTTAAACAATTTAGAATCCACAATACCACAGAATGCTTCCATATAAGTTTCAGCTTTTCTTGCCCAGTGGTTCTTGAGAAGAACATTTTCAATGTTTTTTCCTTATATATTTCCATGTAAAACTGTGATTCCCCATTGTGACCCCACCCAACCCCCGGGGGTCATGATTTGAAAAATTTTAAATCTACAGTACCCCAGGATGCTTCCACATAAGTTTCAGCTTTTCTGGCCCAGTTTGGGTTGTGGCCCTTCATTTTAACAATTTAAATTCTCCTTTACCAAAGGATTCTTTTTACCAAGTTTATTTAAAATTGGCCCAGTGATTCTTTAAAAGGTGAAAAGTTTACAGACGGACAGCTGGACGGATGACGGACGGACAGACGACGGACAAAATGTGATCATAAAAGCTCAATTGAGCCTTCGGCTCAGAAGAGCTAAAAAAAAAAGCTCTTAAGGCCAAAATCTGGTAAATAACTTTTTCATGTTTGAATCATCATGATAACTATTAACCCCCCTCCTTTTTTTACTCCTCTGACAATGTTATATAGACATCAAAAGTATTATCATCATTCAGAAGTTATTTGTAAAATAACTGCAATATTAAAAGGCTAAGTCCATATTATTTACCGATTTTTGATATCTTAAGATTGCAGGCAATCTGGATTAATTGTCTATGACAGATATTGACAGATATCTTTCATTATTAATAAATGTAAGTCTTAATTTGGTTATATCTTTGAAGTACCTGCAGAACTGTAGCTCTCTTCTTTAAAAAAATCGAACATATAAGGCACTGAGCTACAGACTACATCATTGTTAAACCTTCGATTTATACCGCCGTTTTTTGTCGTTCACAGTATTAAAGAAATTTATTTGTCAATTTTGAGAAATTTGTAGACTAATTTGTAAGATCTTCACCTTAAAAAGATGCATCGGTATTAAAAATATCAAATAAATCATCCAGATTTCAAATTAATACGCTAATGGGTCTAATGCAAATAAATTTAGTAGTTTAAAATTGAGTGACTGTTATGTAAAAGAAATATTGTAACTTTTTAAAGAGAATTAATAGAACAGTCTCACTAAGATTTTATTGCACCCATTAATTAATTATGTTCTTATTGACACCCTTTACATCAATCTAATTAAAATCAGACTTCTTAGATCCGCGCCGTATATATACACTCTGCGTAAGAGTGTATACGGCGCGGATCTAAGAAGTCATTACATATTAACGTTCTCATTAGCATGGGTCATTTTCTCTTCTATGGAATGAAATTTCGCCTTTATAATCACTTCATAAATTATAAACAATGTTGAACTTTTTTATGCTAAAATATTTTAATTTGCTTCTTCTTCTTTCAAATCATTATAGCGTGAACAAAAGCTTTTTTTCTAGATATGATAAACTGCTAGCAATGTAGAATAAATTAACTAACCTTATTTTTAAATGATTACAGCTAGAATGGTGCTTTTTCTCGTGTGGTCTTGATTTATGTCCATTCTCATTGTTATAATTCGTATTTCCAACTCTTCCTTTACCGTTTTTTCCATAAGCATCAATGACACTGGCACCAATGAGGAACGAAGCGATTAACAACCAAGTGGACTAAAATTAGAGATTTCCAGCAAAGCATTCAAAATCCAGTTAATTAAACTTCGACAGACAAATTAAAGGCAATCTAATATTCTGTTAAAAAAATATATCTCATTATAAATTCTAAGGAAGCAATTCAAACTAATTCTAACAAAACTTAATAACTCAATGATATTTCAATGACATTTGTTTTATTTCAGAAAAACATAAACTGTAAATGTATTACATCTTTATAGTTGTTATATTCTTTTTAATCCTTTAAGGGAAAGAACCTTACCCTAAATTAAGTACAATGCAAAATTCCTTGCACTATATGCAGTAATAAAACATTGAGAAATGCGCGAAACCAAATCTACGATAATTTGTTCAAAATTCAACTTAATCCGCCAAATATTGTTCACCCGTAAAATAATACGTTTAGATAATATAAGAATAAAATGAACAACTAAAAATATTTTCACAGTATGTAGAGAACTGATTCTAAATAAATACTCGAAAATTCCATTGCCTTGCCATTGGTTATATTCCAAAAAAACAACATTTTATTGTGCTTAAAAATGCCCTAAGTTGTGCATCTAAAAATTCTGATTGACTAACTAACTATGTGGGAGTTGAAGTTCAGGTCTTCAACAATCCGTCTGATTTTCGAAGGGTACCAATAGCGTCTGTTGCAGCAGACTTACTTAAATTTGTATTCACATGAAGCAGACATTATTAATAAACGTATACATGAAAGAAAAAAAAAACACTTGTTACGGCCTTTAAATCGACATTCAGGTGTATCGGTGATATAATATTAAATGACAAAATTTACATTCATTCATATGTCGGATTTTTATAAACAGTTTAACTTTCAATAAAAAGATTTTAAAGAGTCAATGGTAATCTAACAAAACTTTATAATGAACATGATCACATAATTTACTTTTTCTACCTCTAATATCACTTACTAGTATCTAAGTACCGTTATACCATTTTTCTGCCAAAGGTGCAATTTACAAGTTCATTCAAATTACAGTAAGATTTAAGAACGTACCTTTTTTTTAAAAAAGCAAGCTTTTGAAAAACAATTTGATGAAACAAAAAAGAGTTGTTAAAAGTTATCAATCACTAGTTTTATTATCGAACCAATGACATTTTCTACAAGTTCATCGTATCATTAAGTCGGATGCCGAATGAACTTTTCTATACTTATTTTACAATCATTATTTTTTCCGCTTTTTGATTTAAGAAATGAATGTAATATTTTTTCATTTGATCGACGTATGCGTAGCGTATTGATGAAAATGTTTTCCGTTCATTTTTTTTCTTAGATACATCGATCAAAGGAAACAAATATTACATTCATTTCTTTTCATTTAATCATGATTTTAAATTTTTAAAATGAAATTTCTTTCACTTAACTTTTAAATTTACGCATCAGAAAACAGTGCGTATGAATATATATCACAACAACGTTAACGATGCTGAAGTTCAAAATGGCTAATTTATAGGCCTAACGAAAAAACAGGGTTCTCAAATATTGTTGTGTCATTAACAACCTTCTCTAACAATAATTTTAAAACAGTTCTTTAACATAAAAAAACTAACCTGTTGTATAACTATATTTTTTTCTTTCCCACTGGGTATATTTTACAATATTTTCCCTAGTTAATTCGTAAATGTACTGGGAAGCTACTCAAATGTCCTAACAGATATAGGTAACTTTTTTGAATTTCATTTGCACATCTTTTCATCTGAATTTCAAACCGAACATATAAATACGTAACACAACCTTTCAATGCTGTAAAATCTGAAAGAGTCTGTTGCTGACTGTTTACGATTTAAAGAATTCCGTCCTCATTCATGCGGTGTCGTTTTTCTTTTTCCTAAGAATTCACAGATTAACAGCAGTTCCCAGCTTTGGTAGCATAAAAGCATTTCTTCACAGTTTTATTATTCATAATAGTTACATTGTATCTCAAAGACAAGCATTTAACATAAGAATGCTGATTCCTTTCTTCTTTCTCATAACTGCATTGTCATGCAGACAATTTGATTTGTTTAGCAATTGGAAGTAATTCTAAACGGAACAAAAGTAGAAAATAAGTCAGGAAGTAACGTATAAGTTTCAAAATTCAGGAAAATATTTATTTAAGTAAAACTATTTAATCGTTCTTTCAAAAACTGGTCTGGAAGCGGGGAATATACATGTACATGTAAAGACAGCCAAAGTAAGATCTGGCGGCTTAGTGCAACCGAACTCTAGATTTCAATGATGCAGTTATATTTACATTTCCAATATCTATGTCCGAGATAAAATTACAAATACTTAATGTACTTTATTTCTTCATGAATGCACTGGTTCATCAATAGGCGCGGTTAAAAAAATTCGCCTGCAGTGCAGGACAAATTAATCATGTTAATAGCTATACAGAAGCAGAACTTGTAGCACGTGGATTGGCGGAATCAAGGGCGTGTAAATATAAGGAATAACTGTCTTATTTTTCGATTTTATGAAGACGATTAATTGATTGGCTTCCGTGATAATTTTATGCATATACGCCTTTGGCGTTTATGCAAATTATCATGCAAGCCAATCGATTGATCACATCATGAATTCGAAAAATGAGACAGTTATCTCTTAAATCAATAGAATTTTTTAATCCAATCAGATTCAAATATTTCATAGAAATTAAATGGTTATGTTTTCTTCCCGTCTATCTTATCAAGACTGGGAAGACACGGTTGATGTTACCAAAGGACAGGATCCTCATTTGACCTGATTTCATCTTTGCATGATTATTTAGAGTACCATGTTTGCTCCACTCCCCATTTGTGTAGTTCA